GGTATCCGGCCCTGGATTCAGAAGATCGACTTTTGTTTGGCTATTTGGACAATGACATAGTATCCCTGAGATTAGATAATTCTGGCGCTGAATTTGTAGTTCCTGGAACAAGCGTTGGAACAGAACTGGTTCGAGATACAGAACGGAAGTGAGTTAGGATTTCAGCTGTATTTTTATTCCTACTGATTTTAAATTTTTGGTTGTATTTATGATATAGTTTCAGTTTGAAATACGTACTTTTGTATATTTTGCTCTATTTCTCAGTGAAATTTATTGGTATTTTCACAACATCGTAAAACGAGATAGTTACAATGGAGATTCAGAGATAGATTTTTGGAAATCATCCAGCTATTTCGGAATGTTTACTTTTAAAGGTTTGTATATTTTACAGATTAAATCTAAAATGTTGCCAGCGGCGTCCGGCTAAGTTAAAGCTCGTGCCACGGTTGCTGTGAAAGATCTGTTATCATTAAGATTGAAAATAAATACAGAAAACGTCGAAAAGTAATACAGTTAACAGTGGCATTTGACATTTTAAACGTTTGAAAACGGACGCAAATTTCTTACTATCTGTGTGTTAACTCACCTGGTCCTTATGCTAGGAGGGAACATCTGTTGTCCGAAGTTTGATTTGGGCAAAAACATTCTATTTTGGACAACAGTGATTTTGACCTTTGACGAACCAAGCATAAATATAACAGAATCTGGTTCTTTTCTTATTATTCAATTTGAAGGATAAAACACCTAACAATTGTTAATTATTGTCAGCCCAGCTGTTCCAAAGGGCATAGTGTTATATCGTTGCCCGTCTTTCGTCCAGCTTCATTTTGTTTTCTTTAAGCCACTTTTTCTCAATTAAAAGGCCCGGGTTCGTGGTCATTTACCAGTAGCATAATGGGATGACGTGCTACCAGGTTTGTTCAAATAAATGACATTGATGCATTTTCAAGGTCACATGGGTCCAACTCTCTACAAAATCTGCAAATAGCTTGCTGCTGGGATGAAGTACAAATGAACGACTATGACTTCACAGATCACAGATGTTAAATGTGTTAAAAATGTTTTTTAAATCTTAATATTCTAGATGTAAATGGGAGATGATATTTTGTCAGTAGCATGCTGGGATGACTTTCAAGGTCACAATTGTCAAATATAAGGAGCTGTTTAAGCGTCCGTGTCTCAATAGCCAAAAGACCCAAGATAATGATATTTGGCAATAGCATGCTGGGATGAATGGCTACCATTTTTTGTAATGAATGACCTTAAGCCACTTACAAGGTCACTTTGGTCAAATGTGTTAAAGGCTTCAACCAAATTCTGAATAATCCAAATACTAGTGGTGTTTATATTTGTCCAGAAACATGCATAGATAAAGAGATGGCAAGTTTGTTCAAGTAAATGTAAGATTTTCAAGGTCACGGGGATCTAGTGTTAAAAACAATCACCTCAAAAAATATAAGGTGATAATATTTGGCCAGTCGCCAGCTGGGAAGAAGAGCTAAGTTTGTTCAAATGAATTACCTGATAAGACTGTCAAGGTCACTGGGGTAAAATGTATTTAAATACTTTGCAGGTTCGTTTGAATGACAAAGAGTCATAGATAATATTTCGCCTGTAGCTTTATTTAATGTTACAAGATCAATATCAGGTGAGCGATACATGCCCATTAGACCTCTGTTTCCTTTTTGCTCGCTCTATGCGTATTCATTTTGTATTCTTCGTTATTCAGGAATAAGCAATTTCAGCTAATTACTACGTGTTTCAAGGTTACCGCGTAAAACTTAACGATGCATGAAACAGGCAAGCTTAACATAAATGATTATATTTGTTAATGTATCGAAATGTGTCCCATTATAGGTGACAGTATATTCAGTATTGATGCGCATTATCGGGGAATTACCAGGATTCATCACAACTGTTGCTGACGTCTTGTACTCGCACTATGGTGTAATGGATGCCTGCGGTAAGCTGTATGCAGATCATGAGTGGATTTACTGTATAGGATATAAAGATATGTAAGTATAGAAAATATACAATATCTATCTTCGTATGTTCCACTTGTGTTATGCATGTTCTTATAATTGTTTTCAGATTAAAGAAGACAGGCACAATACAGTAAGTTTGAAATTCTACTAATTGCCCAACATCCTGACAATGCCTCATTTTCATTTCACTGAGTCAAATGCCAGAGCAAATTTGAAAATAAAGCACCTGTAACTATTTGCAAAGTGTCATAACACATTGTCGTTATATTATGCACATTGTGATAGCAGTTACTCATTGTAATCGTGAAGTCAGGACGGTTTTTATATTTCCATTTTGTAGTGTTTCAACATTGTTTAATACCGATTCATTTTGCACCATTTATGCTAAGATGATATTTTATGTTGACATATCGAATAAATCTTCTACCAATGTTCACCTTATAGGAATATACTGCGGTTACAGAGGGATGGAAAGGGAAGTAGTTCCCATGGTCCATTGGAGTCGGGTATTCTTTAGGCTTTATTCTGTTCATACTTAAGTTACAAGCTACTTTAATTTGAAAACAGGGATTAATCTGTTCGATAGCTTGTTCGTGCATGTACATTTTGACAAACGACAAATGTGATTTTAGTTATATGACACACGTATTTTAAAATTTTACATGAAATTGTTTTGAGAAATCATATAAACATGTATATTACACGTCTTCATTTCCCTTATTTTGTTCCCATTATTCATAAATGATACTGCTCGCAGGCGCGTAGCTACCATGTAAGCCAATAAGCCCGGGCTTGCACATGATTTTGAAAAGTATAGGTTTTCATGACATTATTTTTTCTTGCCGATACTATAAAGTGGAGTTTAAGTTTTGAATATATAGTATACATATGTAATTCCTCAGATATGATACAGTGTTAATAGTACAAAAATGTATGAAGTTTAGAAATGTCCATTGCATTAATGGACAGTTCCAGGCGGAACTAAACTGCTCGATTGAGTAAATTGAGAAACTCACGCCTGGCGCAAACGACTCCGAGTATGGCACAGTGGACACAGACAATCAATGTGGGTTTTTTTATGAAAATATCAATTTGGCGCACGTTCGGCCCCTTTTGCCGGGGCACATTCGGCCACCCCGAATGCAACTGTTATTGTGCCAAGTGACGTCACTATTGTTAACGTCACCCAATTGACCACAAAAATAATATTTTTACGTCGCAAAAATTAAGTATTTTTTTCTTTGTATTCACTGATTTGTTCTGGACTTATTTTCCAACAGAATTGAATGAAATTCCATACACTTATTAGTAAATTGTCTTCTCTATCCTTCATGCCATACTTGCCCTGGTAGGGGCCGGATTTACCTCAGGGCGGGGCTCGTCCGGCCCCCAACTCTCTCGACCTAAAAAGTCCAATAATTCCCAAAATATGGTCTTGTTTACNTGGGGGGGCTGCTGCCTTCGGCAACCCCATGTCGGGGCTTACACATGGTAAAGGGGCTAGCTACGCGCCTGGCTCGAGCCGTTTTGTCCTCTGCATTTTGAGAGGCCATTTTGATTATGTACACCCAACTCAGTCCAAGTAATGTATGAGAATCATTAGACATGGCCTCAGTGTTCAAATGGTGCTTTCATTCGTTTTGTAAAAAAGGAAAAGGATGGAGGGATTTTTCTGTTTCATTGTGACCCAACCCAGTAATAACATTTTAACAATCGTTAAAGAAATACACCTTATGTATCCTTATGTATTCACTATGACAATTGTAAAAATTTCAATTTGAAAAATATTAACATTATTACATAATATTACCTCATATTTTGCTGGGTTCCCGGCGATGTTGGAGTATTGGTTAATAAAAAACGCGAAACAGCTTTATTGCTACCACGTGTGGATTCTAAATTTCATCTAACTGATTTAAAAACACTTATAACAAAGTTTTGAGGATCACATTGGCAAAATCACTGGACTCGATACATAGACAGTAAATTACATTCTTCAAAGCATTATTTGGTGAATGGCATCCTAACTAAAAATAAAGTCGCCCGAACAAGGCTGTCCTTAGCCCTGTCCGGATGGGTCATTAATACATAACACATTGTTATTGATTGAAACGTATAAACCAGCCTGAAAACACAGCATTCAAAAACATATTAACAGTTAAACAGTAAATATATTTTGTCGCCTTTCAGCCAACTCGAGAACATTTCTATGATAACGTTGCATGTCTTGTATCTCATTTCGAAACAATTACTGTCCCTACAAGTTCAAACAATCTCAAAGTAGTTGGTCTTTTCAAAATAGCATGAGTCCCCAGAACCACTTCTAATCAAGTATGTCTTTTAACTTTTTAGTTTTATGTCATTTTTGTATTTTGCATTTATTTTTGTCGACCATAAATTAGCCTTTTTACCTCCCCGATGCCGTTAGGTACGTAATAATAATGTTCACAAAAAATAAGAAAAAAAGTGTGCTACCCTGGATATTGATAATGGTATGTTATATGTCTTAACAACCATTCCATAATTCACTTCCACCCTTGATCCATTAGCAAATATAAGAGTAACTATAACATGTTTTTTGTAGAGTCTGTTTACTTGTTATCTGTTTTCAAGCTGAAATTGATATATATTTTCTTCAATAAAAATACTAAATTGACTTAAAATGAGGTAAGACAAATGGAACCATATAAGCATATACTCATGGGGTAATTACGTGTGATTGTGGGTCTGCAAGATAGACTAGAGGGAGCCCTGTGATAGGTAAGTACACCACCATCGCAATCAGGTATAATGTGTTTGTTCTTACGATCTTTTGACATGCATGTCATGGTGTTTCATTTTGTCGTCACTTATATGCATTATACCAAGAGTAGGAATTTTAACTCAAGTAGTACATAACAGACTATTAGTTAAACGTCAAAAAATTGTAATTATATCTTTTGTTTCCTGTCTAACAATAACTCAGAATGTATATTTGATGAATTAAATACATGAAAAGAAATTGTTGACAAAAAGATGTTTTAAACAGATTTATTGTAATTTCAATGATTTAAGCATTTTTAAAGGCAATTTTGTGAATTGTAAGCGTAAAAACAATGTGAAAGAATACACAACAATATTAATACTCTGTAGATTATATTACGTTATCTGTCGGCGACATGAACTGGTTGAAAATGACAAAGATACGGATACAGAGACTTAAATAATCCAGAGACTCACTGATTTCAACTCTCTACGCTCCTGTTTTGTTTGGTTTGTATAATTTAATTATTTACATTAGTTTTGCATTTTACCTTATTTCCTACGGAAACGGTTTACATTTTAGACATTAATGACGTCATGAATTACTACGTGATCAATAAGACTTACTACAGATCATGTACAATATCGATTTTCAATCAAAATGATCTATTATAACAATGAAATACAAAAGCGTTAAAAAACATTATTCCAACTCATACATATGCGAACATACAATACGTTTTCTGAATTGTTAAGGGTTTAACATCTTCAAAGAGAATAAAATCACACAGAGACGTTTTCAACGTTGTCAGCAGATGACTGGGGCACTGAAGTGCAACTTTAACATCTTACTGAAATGTTGTAACCTGGACATGGCAACACTACTCTATCTGGTATGCATAGTTATAATTGATATCATAAGGAAACCATGTGAAATGTTTGAGATGCAGTTAAACTGTCTGAACGGAATAATGCAGCTTACCACCAAAACAACTGTTTAATTGGTGGTTAAGTAAAAATAATAATCATATCAAATTAACGATACAAACTTCCATACAGCAGCGCAATGACGCCTACTAAAATGGCGAAGCTCAAACCTTTAGTCATGTAAGATTGTTTCACTTTTCTTCTTAGATGTTGTGGTGCTTTGTATGAAGGACTGTAAGCTGTCCCTGACAGTTCTGCACTGGAGACGGAGCCGGGCCGGAGTTGATGTAATATTTCCGTTGCTGCACGTATACCGGACTGGACCCCGCCGGACATGTACCCATCCCATTCCATGGCGCCATCAGCGCCGGCAAAGTGTAGTCTTAGAGCAGAAAATAAATTCTTTTTTAAATGATTCCACATGCTTATACCTTCATTTTGATTAAATTAATTTCGTAATCAAAAGTTAATTTCTTGGTTAATTTGTTATATTAATAAGTGATTATATAATCAATCTGCCTATTATGTTAGCTAAGAATGTCAACATTGTATAGCATGCTGTATACCATAACACTGTTTCCTATCCAGGTTGAAGTAATTTGGGAAAGCGAAGCATGTACTACGAATACATCACTATTTGAGAAACCAAATATCCCTGCAGGTTTCTAGTTAAAAAATAAATGTTAAATCCAAATCAAAACAAAAGAGACAACACAATATTAATTAACTTATTCCCTGATTTTCTCTGAGTGTGTTTTGACGACATATTGCCTCCCCCAAGGTTCCCATACACAGACATCTCGATATCACTATGAATAGTCTCCCCTGGTGTTTCCTCATATCGAAACTTCAACATGTAGTAAAATAACCCGAATCCCCTCCCACTAGGGGTCCTGTAGAGAGACAACTGTGCAACACAATCTGTCTCCCTATGGTTTTATACAATCACACTTTAATGGGACCTTCCCAGAGGTTTCTGTTATGCAAACACAAATACAAGACGATAGTTACCTCCCCTGCGGTTCCCGGAGACCAGCAGCAAAGTTTCGCATTGCCCCTGTACTGACTCCTGCTAAAGCGCCTTCTATGAATAGCTCTTCACTCCAGTCCTTCTCAAAGTAATCCAGGCAGGTTTCCGCTTGCGACCCGAAGAAATCAGTCAATGACTTTAAAACTGCGTTTTTCCTTGTGTGAGCCTGAAACGGGAGGGTCGGGTATAACAGATGAGGATTCAATGAAATTGGGAACAAACCAATGCCTATTCTAAGTATTAGGATTATGATATGTCAGTTCGTAACAGTATGATGTGTTATAATTTTAAACCTGAAGATCCCTTTACGAGGGTAAAAGTACGAGTGTGAGAAGGTGCGATTTCGTTTTTATTGTATATGTTCGAATAATTTAAGGTTTTGTTCCGGGTACTCCGTTTTCCTCCCACAATAAGGCCCACAGGTGCGCTAACATCCGGGCCACAAGAATAATTTTATCAACTGACAGACAGTAATTATAACTTTCTTCGAAGTTGTTGCTGCGTCCACCAAAACGTACACCATGATCTCTGTTACGCTATTCAACAAATACAATTTCTTATTTTCGACCTAAAACTGTCTTTTCTACGTCATATAAAATATTTGAAAGAAACTGCTCGAAAGCTCTAAATATTCTCATGTATCTATTGTTCAGACAGATTGATAAGCAGACCGTGACCTGCTGCTAGTTTACGTCGCTCATTGATTCAAAGCTTTACTATGGTTTTGAAAAATCTCGCATTCTTCTGTTCAATTCATCCCACAATTTCTTTTACTCACAATTGTATATAAACAGCTCTAAGGTCGCAAAGGAACTTGCTGCAGTATGTGTGGTTGGCAACCTGTCGTTTGCCCTCCAGTTCTTACATTTTACAGCTAAAGCAATTGCAGTTGGGTTGTAATTTGATGAAATTGAAAAGAATTAAATGAAAAAAAGCAATATTCTGTTCTGTTTTGTTGTCGCTACTACAAATATTAAAAAGTCGGAACTTTGACAATGTTCTCATGCAAAACATCGCCCTGCGTATTAACAGGATTGTAGTGTCCTGCCGCATGATTTATCTCAGTCTGTAAACCCGGTCAGAATAGGAGACTACAAACGAAAGGTACTAAACTGCCATAATATGATTTTAAATCTTTCATAGCAAATTATATAAAATTAATGCTCCGAAGGGAAATTTGCAATTCAACCTAATGTAGGCTCATTTGCAACAGGTATATCATATCGCAGAGAGGAAGTTGCCCTCTCGCGACTACACATGGGCCATAAATATATATTACGCATGGTTACATTTTACGTACGGAAGGTCAACTTTATTGTCATGCATGTGATCAACCTTTGAAAGTAAAATAGTTCATGATTGAATGCGATAATGTTAAACAAATACGTGACAGATTCTATAATGCACCGTCCATGAAAAGTTTATTTGATACAGTTTTTTTCAATTGAAATATGCATGTTTACCGTGTTGTCTTGCCCTAAATGACTTGCATGAACGACTGACCGTGAAGCAACACAAAAACAAAAAACAATACCCACTTTCTGTCTGCTCCATTGTATAGCTTGATCTCCCGACAAGAACGCCAACAGCGCGGGACTTCCTTTCGGAGTTGTTGCATCGCACACAGCAGACAGAGGGCCTACGTCACATCCGCTTACGTCACTAGGACCACCATACGTCAAAGCCTCTCCAGATTGGCCATTGGACTTCCAGAATGCCTGTACATCAAGTTATTTCTTGCGTTAGAAAACAAATTGAATTCTGCATTTTTTATCAAAACTTCAATATGAAATTGAACACCATTTTATGAACTATTAATTATGGTATGAATGTATTTTTTTTTTGCTTTCACACTTTATAACAATAACTTTAACGTCATTCATTCCTTAAAATTACATTATAAAACCTATTTTTTGTATTCTGTATGTATTGACAGTAAAAGTCGGGGTTTTCTGTCTGGCAACACTCCTAACAAACTTGGTCACTTCAGCGATTGACTATGTATCCATTGCATTGGTCGACATGTCCATACAGAAAGATCAGACTATTTGTTGTCCCTTATGACCTATCTTGTGTTGATGGGCCATTAACCATGTAATAATACTAATACAGAAAGATCAGACTATTTGTTGGCGCTAATGACCTATCCTGTGTTGATGGGCTATTAACCATGCAATAATAGTAATACAAAAAGATCAGACTATTTGTTGGCCCTAATGACCTACCTTGTGTTGATGGGCCATTAACCATGCAATAATACTAATACAGAAAGATCAGACTGTTTGTTGGCACTAATGACCTATCTTGTGTTGATGGGCCCTTAACCATGTAATAATACTAATACAGAAAGATCAGACTGTTTGTTGGCACTAATGACCTATCGTGTCCTGATGGGCCATTAACCATGTAATAATACTAATACAGAAAGATCAGACTATTTGTTGGCGCTAATGACCTATCCTGTGTTGATGGGCTATTAACCATGCAATAATACTAATACAAAAAGATCAGACTATTTGTTGGCCCTAATGACCTATCCTGTGTTGATGGGCCATTAAGCATGTAATAATACGAATACAGAAAGATCAGACTATTTGTTGGCCCGAATGACCTATCTTGTGTTGATGGGTCATTAACCATGTAATAATACTAATACAGAAAGATCAGACTATCTGTTGGCCCTAATGACCTATCTTGTGTTGATGGGCCATTAACCATGTAAAAATACTAATACAGAAAGATCAGACTGTTTGTTGGCACTAATGACCTATTTTATGTTGATGGGCCATTAACCATGTAATAATAATAATACAGAAAGATCAGACTGTTTGTTGTCCTTAATGACCTATTTTGTGTTGATGGGCCATTAACCATGCAATAATACTAATACAGAAAGATCAGACTGTCTGTTGGCCCTAATGACCTATCGTGTGCTGATGGGCCATTAACCATGTAATAATTCTAATACAGAAAGATCAGACTATTTGTTGTCCCTAATGACCTATTTTGTGTTGATGGGCTTTTAACCATGTAATAATACCAATACAGAAAGATCAGACTATTTGTTGTCCCTAATGACCTATTTTGTGTTGATGGGCCATTAACCATGTAAAAATACTAATACAGAAAGATCAGACTGTTTGTTGGCTCTTATGACCTATCGTGTGCTGATGGGCCATTAACCATGTAATAATAATAATACAGCAAGATCAGACTATTTGTTGGCCCTAATGACCTATCCTGTGTTGATGGGCCATTAACCATGTAAAAATACTAATACAGAAAGATCAGACTGTTTGTTGTCCTTAATGACCTATTTTGTGTTGATGGGCCATTAACCATGCAATAATACTAATACAGAAAGATCAGACTATCTGTTGGCCCTAATGACCTATCTTGTGTTGATGTTCCATTAAACATGTAATAATACTAATACAGAAAGATCAGACTATTTGTTGTCCCTAATGACCTATTTTGTGTTGATGGGCTATTAACCATGTAATAATACCAATACAGAAAGATCAGACTATTTGTTGGCCCTAATGACCTATCTTGTGTTGATAGGCCATTAACCATGTAATAATAATAATACAGAAATATCAGATTATTTGTTGGCCCTAATGACCTATCCTGTGTTGATGGGCCATTAACCATGTAATAATAATAATACAGAAAGATCAGACTATTTGTTGGCCCTAATGACCTATCTTGTGTTGATGGGCCATTAAACATGTAATAATACTAATACAGAAAGATCAGACTATTTGTTGTCTCTAATGACCTATCGTGTGCTGATGGGCCATTAACCATGTAATAATAATAATACAGAAAGATCAGACTGTTTGTTGTCCTTAATGACCTATTTTGTGTTGATGGGCCATTAACCATGTCATAATACTAATAAAGAAAGATCAGACTATTTGTTGGCCCTAATGACCTATCTTGTGTTGATGTTCCATTAAACATGTAATAATACTAATACAGAAAGATCAGACTATTTGTTGTCCCTAATGACCTATCCTGTGTTGATGGGCCATTAACCATGTCATAATAATGATACAGAAAGATCAGACTATTTGTTGTCCCTAATGACCTATCTTGTGTTGATGGGCCATTAACCATGTAATAATAATAATACGAATACAGAAAGATCGACTGGGTAGATACATTGAGAACGTAAACGAATTAAATAATGTGGCAGCTCGTTCGACCTGAGAGGTCTATTCAGAACAGACCTGCTGTTACCAAAAGCATGCCGTGAGAGGCGACCTATGCGGGAGACCCTCCTGTAGCATTCTATTGTACCAATTTGAATTTCCAGACTATAATATATATGTTTGAATCCCCCCATTTGACTCGTTGGAGTAAATAACTGTAAAGCACTTTAATTTTCGCGTAAATTCCCAGAGACCTTGTTCAAAAATAAAATGTTCCGCGGAAAACACTTTGTAAATAACATTAACGGAATGAAATATCCCGCTCCTGTTGTATTACCTCCTCGTACGTTATAACGACTTTGATGCAGTTTCCAAAAGGCATCCATTTCTCTATCTCTCTTCGCTGTAAGGACAGCTGGGGCTCAAACTGTATTTGTCCTGTGAAAGATCAATATTACACTTCAAATAATTGTCGAGATGATATTGGTGTAAAAATTCCTACTTATTTGTTGAAGATGGACAGAGTTCCTTTGCTGCACCTGACTGTCTGGGAAACTGGTGAAAGGCATACCTATAATTAATTGGTCCCTGCAAGTAGGTCGTAAGAATTGTATTTGCTGTCCCTAGCCTATTGCATGATCGTAATAGGTGACTAAATTTGGGATCTTATCTTTTCTCTTCTTTCTAAATAACGTTCTTCTTCCTAATGTCTTCCTTGACAATGCATCACTTTTGGCCTTTAGCTAAGCGTTCGCCCCTGTGAGGAAGGCTTTGGGTTCTGTCCCCTGGCCGAGACATACCAACGTCTGTAAAAATGGTAGTTTCTATTCCTGCTTAACGCTGAGCAATTTAGGAGTGGGACGACTGGTTCGCCCGGTGTCAGTATAATGTGACCGGGTGGAGTGTCATCCTAGGTGTATTCGGACCTATGTTTCAGTGAGGTAGGACTATAAAGTCGCTATCACAAGGAGACAAACACGAACATATCGCAGCCTCACAAAACACACACGCATGCATCTTGCACACAGGGGAGGCCGTCCTAAAATGACCATAGCTGTTAATAGGACGTTAAACAATACAAACCAAACCAAATATTCATAGTTCACTCACTTGCAACCATCGGCGGTGCGGCCATCACTGCTCGCTTACAGCTCACTGTCAGTCCGTTCTGGCATTTCAGTTGAATGCTTTCCTCACTCTGAAACAAGTATATATTGAAAGAAAATTTAAGGGTTTTAACGTTTTATGTTATAAATTGGTTGTGTATCAGTAATATTTGTATTATTTTTATATCCTGTATTGCTTTTTGGACACAAAAGGTTGAAAGGCTCAATAGGAGTGGTCTTACAAAATAGTAAGATTGGAGATCATGAAGCAAACGAAATGTTAAAAACACAAAATTGGATCAGGATTATTGGTGCCGTTTCGGACATTGGTATTTCAACCTTATCGTAATATACCTCAACAAATACACCAACATACCGCCTCCATCAGACTACATACATCACACACGTGTTCTTACTAGATCTTAGCTGTTAATAGAGCTCGAAATCCATTCAACCAAATCAAACAGTTGTCGTCTATGTAAGATATTGACATCAACATCTGAGGTGACTTATGTAGGGCACCTGCAGGGGGGTTTCTTTAGGGGACATTTTAAAATAACCAAGAATATTCCTTCCATATCTCAACGAATGTTTCGTACAGGCGACTAATGTGAGGACCCTGCAGGACCAGGTTTTTTGTCCCTGTCACCTACAAAAAGGGACATTGACCTTAAGTGATCCGCCGCTTCCACTGCAACACTTTGGATATTTTTTAGTTTACTATCTTTCCTGTCTACTTCCGTTCTTTTTTCTTCCCATTTTCTTCCAGGATGTTTTCAAATGGTAGTTGGTACTCCCTGCTTAACGTTCAGCATCAAAGGTGATTGCACGAACTGATTCACCTGTTGTCAGTATAATGTGACAGGGCGTTATGCTGTGCTGGGTGCCTTCGTCATGGTATTTCAGCGAGATTGCACTATAAAGTAAACCCATATCCGCGCTATCACAAGAAGGCAATTACACAAACATACCTTGTCTGCGGCAAACATTCACACATGCACGCTTACACAACACACATGGGGGCACGACCTTAAATGACCTTAGATGTTGCAATAGAACGTTTAATAAAATAGTCCTCATATATTGCTGACTGATACGGGACGTTTAATACCAAACAAAACAAAACAAATCGCTCTTTGTATTTTCGACAGAAGGTTGTTGCATATTGTTCAAAAACATCAACAACATACACGGACATTTACCTGTATCACCTTAGTAACAGCGTGCTCCAGCAGGACATTGTCTGTCCCGACTTTCTCCGCTAAAATCTTAGAGATCTGCTGCGTTCCTCCCTGTAAGTAAATGGTTGGTACACACTTATATCCGGGTACTACGTGCAAAACAAGCTAATGAGTGAAGCTCCATCACATATATCCCGTAGAGTATTGTTACATGTATAAACTCACTACAAACCTGTTTATGTAAGTGAGGACGCCAGTCTAAGATTATTTGATCATAGGGTACATGTGCGATCCCGATATGATATAATTGTCCCTCTTTGTATACAGTTACACCAAACAAGAAGTTCCTACCTTGACTTTTAAACCCTGAGCGGAGTCTTCATTTGTTTCCACCATGGCCATTAGTCCACCGGCGGATGACATCGTACTAAGGAAGTAAAGAGTCGATATTTGTGACGGTTCCATGGTAATCAAGGAACGAATGAAGGCCGCTATTGTCTCGTAGGCACCTACACAAAGACAGGTATACAGAGTTATAGCCCCTACACACAGACATGTATATATAGTTACGGCCCCTACACACAGACATGTATATAGAGTTACCACCCCTACACACAGACATGTATATAGAGTTACGGCCCCTACACACTGACACGTATATAGAGTTACGGCCCCTACACACAGACATGTATATAGAGTTACGGCCTCTACACACAGACATGTATAAATAGTTACGGCCCCTTCACACAGATATGTGTAAAGAGTTATGGCTCTACACACAGACATGTATATAGAGTAACGGCCCCTACACACAGATATGTATAAACAGTTATGGTTCTACACACAGATATGTATATAGAGTTACCGCCCCTACACATTGACACGTATATAGAGTTACTGCCCCTGCACACAGACATGTATATATAGTTACGGCCCCTACACAAACACATGTTTATAGAGTCGTGGCTCCTACACACAGACATGTATATAGAGTTACCACCCCTACACACAGACATGTATATATAGTTACGGCCCCTACACACAGATTTGTATATAGAGTTACGGCCCCTACACACAGACATGTATATAGAGTTACCACCCCTACACCCAGACATGTATATATAGTTACGGCCCCTACACACAGATTTGTATATAGAGTTACGGCCCCTACACACAGACATGTATAAATAGTTACGGCCCCTTCACACAGATATGTGTAAAGAGTTATGGCTCTACACACAGACATGTATATAGAGTAACGGCCCCTACACACAGACACGTATATAGAGTTACGGCCCCTACACAAAGTCAGGTATATAACATGTATATAGAGTTACGGTCTCTACACAAAGACAGGTATATAGAGTTACCGCCCCCACACACAGACATGTATATAGAGTTATAACCCCTACACACAGACATGTATATAGAGATATAACCCCTACACACAGACATGTATATGGAGTAACGGCCCCTACGAACAGACACGTATATAGAGTTAACGCCCCTACACACAGACATGTATATATAGTTACGGCCCCTACACACAGACATGTATATAGAGTTACGGCCCCTACACATTGACACGTATAGAGAGTTACGGCCCCTACACACAGACATGTATATAGAGTTACGGCCCCTACACACAGACATGTATAAATAGTTACGGCCCCTTCACACAGATATGTGTAAAGAGTTATGGCTCTACACACAGACATGTATATAGAGTAACGGCCCTACACACAGATATGTATAAAGAGTTATGGCTCTACACAGAGATATGTATATAGAGTAACAGCCCCTACACATTGACCCGTATATAGAGTTACTGCCCCTACACACAGATATGTATATATAGTTACGGCCCCTACACAAACACATGCTTATAGAGTCGTGGCTCCTACACACAGACATGTATATAGAGTTACCACCCTTACACACAGACATGTATATATAGTTACCACCCCTACACACAGACATGTATATATAGTTACGGCCCCTACACACAGATATGTATATATAGTTACCACCCCTAAACACAGACATGTATATATAGTTACCGCCCCTACACACAGACATGTATATATAGTTACGGCCCCTACACACAGACATGTATATAGAGTTACGGCCCCTACACATTGACACGTATAGAGAGTTACGGCCCCTACACACAGACATGTATATAGAGTTACGGCCCCTACACACAGACATGTATAAATAGTTACGGCCCCTTCACACAGATATGTGTAAAGAGTTATGGCTCTACACACAGACATGTATATAGAGTAACGGCCCTACACACAGATATGTATAAAGAGTTATGGCTCTACACAGAGATATGTATATAGAGTAACAGCCCCTACACATTGACCCGTATATAGAGTTACTGCCCCTACACACAGATATGTATATATAGTTACGGCCCCTACACAAACACATGCTTATAGAGTCGTGGCTCCTACACACAGACATGTATATAGAGTTACCACCCTTACACACAGACATGTATATATAGTTACCACCCCTACACACAGACATGTATATATAGTTACGGCCCCTACACAAACACATTCTTATAGAGTCGTGGCTCCTACACACAGACATGTATATAGAGTTACCACCCCTACACACCGACATGTATATATAGTTACGGCCCCTACACACAGACATGTATATAGAGGTACGGCCCCTACACACATACATGAATATAGAGTTACGGTCTCTACACAAAGACAGGTATACAGGGGGACCGCCCCTACACACAGACAGGTATATCGAGTTATAACCCCTACACAAAGACATGTTTATGGAGTAACGACACCTACGAACAGGCATGTATATAGAGTTACGGCCCCTACACACAGATATGTATATAGAGTTACGGCCCCTACCCACAGACATGTATATAGAGTTACGGCCCCTACACACATACATGTATATAGAGTTACGGTCTCTACACAAAGACAGGTATACAGAGTTACCGCCCCTACACACAGACATGTATATCGAGTTATAACCCCTACACAAAGACATGTTTATGGAGTAACGACACCTACGAACAGACATGTATATAGAGTTACGGCCCCTACACACAGACACGTATATAGAGTTATAACCCCTTCACACAGACATGTATATGGAGTTACGGCCCCTACACAAAGACATGTATATAGAGTTATAACCCCTACACACAGATAAGTATATGGAGTAACGGCCCCTACGAACAGGCATGTATATAGAGTTACGGCCCCTACACACAGACATGTATATAGAGTTATAACCCCTACACACAGATAAGTATATGGAGTAACGGCCCCTACGAACAGGCATGTATATAGAGTTACCGCCCCTACACACATACATGTATATAGAGTTACGGCCCCTACACAAAGTCAGGTATATAGAGTTACAGCCCCTACACATTGACACGTATATAAAGTTACCGCCCCTACACACAGACATGTATATAGAGTTACGGCCCCTACACAAAGTCAGGTATATAGAGTTACAGCCCCTACACATTGACACGTATATAAAGTTACCGCCCCTACACACATACATGTATATAGAGTTACGGCCCCTACACAAAGTCAGGTATATAGAGTTACAGCCCCTACACATTGACACGTATATAAAGTTACCGCCCCTACACACAGACATGTATATAGAGTTACGGCCCCTACACAAAGTCAGGTATATAGAGTTACAGCCCCTACACATTGACACGTATATAAAGTTACCGCCCCTACACACAGACATGTATATAGAGTTACGGCCCCTACACAAAGTCAGGTATATAGAGTTACAGCCCCTACACATTGACACGTATATAAAGTTACCGCCCCTACACACAGACATGTATATAGAGTTACGGCCCCTACACAAAGTCAGGTATATAGAGTTACAGCCCCTACACATTGACACGTATATAAAGTTACCGCCCCTACACACAGACATGTATATAGAGTTACGGCCCCTACACAAAGTCAGGTATATAGAGTTACAGCCCCTACACATTGACACGTATATAAAGTTACCGCCCCTACACACAGACATGTATATAGAGTTACGGCCCCTACACACAGACACGTATAGAGTTATAGCCCCTACACGCAGACATGTATATATAGTTACGGCCTCTACACACAAACATGTATATATAGTTACGGCCCCTACACACAGACATGTATATATAGTTACGGCCTCTACACACAAACATGTATATATAGTTACGGCCCCTACACAAACACATGTTTATAGAGTTATGGCCCCTACAGTGCACTCCAACTTACATGATGTACAAAACGATGATTCTGTAAACACTGTACGAGTCCTGGTGTAGGGTGAATTTAACACTAAGCGAATTAGGACTCTGTCGGTGAAGGGCGAAAGTTTCCCGGTATACAGTAACTATCTATGAACGTTAATGGAGAAAGAGGTCCCCAAACTCATGGCGCCTGGTATTCATGTTTCTCTCCTCAGTTAACTGAGATGAATTTAATTGGTAGTTTAAAAAACTTGTAATTTATATATTAGTCTTTGCTTAAGAGGCCTTCAATCTCCGGCCCTTGAATGCATTTTAGTTTTGTTTCATTTGATCGTAATTAGACAAAACAAACTCTTGTTGTCCTGATGTGAAATGGCAATAAGATTTTTAAACAGACCACGTGTCCACAGCGATTCCTTTAGGAACGTCTCTAGAGTTTTGGTATCCCACTCCTCGCCTCTACTACAGTTATAGGGATCCCCGTGGTCGACCTGCTTCTGGAGTCTCTCTACCTGGTTGATACAACACGTGTAAACATGATTATAACTAAGGTAACCACTGGAATCAATCGCGTCACGTGAAACATTATATTTATATTAGTTTATCATTTGTTGAAAAAAAAAATGGTTCGTTACCCTTCACATCCACGTCACATGGAGATAACTTGATGTCTAGCATTTGTACAGAAGATTCTTCTGTAACCGATGAGAATAAACCGTCATCGCAAATGCTGATATGGCTATGAAACTCGTATTATAGAAAATGTTGGCTTGTTCAATGGGGACATGACGTCATAGAAAAATGATATAGCCACAAACATCACAGAAATTACATGGCGTTAAGGAATCTGTCAGTATGGCTAATCTAGACATGACGTCATAGAAAAATGATATAGCCACAAACATAACAGAAATTATATGGCGTTAAGGAATCTGTCAGTATGGCTAATCTAGACATGACGTCACAAGTTCTTCGAATGAATTATAGGAGTAAATAAAGTATCCAACTGTAATATGAAAACAAAGTTTTCACTTTTGATGAAAATCAATACTGATAATATTTGGTGAATAAACAAAAAAAGAAGAAGATTATTTTGTTATTCAAAATTAGGGTTCAAACAACATGTCTTACCTTCCATATAAAAAACAAAAGGTCTATAAGCACAATCGGTGAAAGAGACGGAATCCACTTGAATCTTTGGACCTTTGCACTCCCAACCTGCAAAACCTTTGACCCTGTGGTGAATTGTGGGTAGGTTTCCAGCCCAAATTCCTGGAGCAAAGCCATGATGTCTTTCTGTGATCTTTAAATTTTGATAAAATGCAAATTAACACAGACTATTTTTCGTGTTGGCTAGTAGACGCAAACGATGTACGATTCTTCTTTTAATAACCAAAACTCTATCCAATAACCATTTCTGAACATTCTAAACGGGAATACAACTGCGGGTTGTTAACAAGACAACACACATGTATACATTCTAGATGGGAATACAACTGCGGGTTGTAAACAAAACAACACACACGTATAAATTCTAGATGGGAATACAACTGCGGGTTGTGAACAAGACAACACACACGTATACATTCTAGACGGGAATACAACTGCGGGTTGTAAACAAGACAACACACACGTATGCATTATAGACGGGAATACAACTGCGGGTTGTAAACAAGACACCACACACGTATATATTCTACACGGGAATACAACTGCGGGTTGTAAACAAGACAACACACACATATACATTCTAGATGGGAATACAACTGCGGGTTGTAAACAAGACAACACACACGTATATATTCTAGACGGGAATACAACTGCGGGTTGTAAACAAGACAACACACACGTATACATTCTAGACGGGAATACAACTGCGGGTTGTAAACAAGACAACACACACGTATACATTCTAGACGGGAATACAACTGCGGGTTGTAAACAAGACAACACACACGTATACATTCTAGACGGGAATACAACTGCGGGTTGTAAACAAGACAACACACACGTATACATTCTAGACGGGAATACAACTGCGGGTTGTAAACAAGACAACACACACGTATACATTCTAGACGGGAATACAACTGCGGGTTGTAAACAAGACAACACACACGTATACATTCTAGACGGGAATACAACTGCGGGTTGTAAACAAGACAACACACACGTATACATTCTAGACGGGAATACAACTGCGGGTTGTAAACAAGACAACACACACGTATACATTCTAGACGGGAATACAACTGCGGGTTGTAAACAAGACAACACACACGTATACATTCTAGACGGGAATACAACTGCGGGTTGTAAACAAGACAACACACACGTATACATTCTAGACGGGAATACAACTGCGGGTTGTAAACAAGACAACACACACGTATACATTCTAGACGGGAATACAACTGCGGGTTGTAAACAAGACAACACACACGTATACATTCTAGACGGGAATACAACTGCGGGTTGTAAACAAGACAACACACACGTATACATTCTAGACGGGAATACAACTGCGGGTTGTAAACAAGACAACACACACGTATACATTCTAGACGGGAATACAACTGCGGGTTGTAAACAAGACAACACACACGTATACATTCTAGACGGGAATACAACTGCGGGTTGTAAACAAGACAACACACACGTATACATTCTAGACGGGAATACAACTGCGGGTTGTAAACAAGACAACACACACGTATACATTCTAGACGGGAATACAACTGCGGGTTGTAAACAAGACAACACACACGTATACATTCTAGACGGGAATACAACTGCGGGTTGTAAACAAGACAACACACACGTATACATTCTAGACGGGAATACAACTGCGGGTTGTAAACAAGACAACACACACGTATACATTCTAGACGGGAATACAACTGCGGGTTGTAAACAAGACAACACACACGTATACATTCTAGACGGGAATACAACTGCGGGTTGTAAACAAGACAACACACACGTATACATTCTAGACGGGAATACAACTGCGGGTTGTAAACAAGACAACACACACGTATACATTCTAGACGGGAATACAACTGCGGGTTGTAAACAAGACAACACACACGTATACATTCTAGACGGGAATACAACTGCGGGTTGTAAACAAGACAACACACACGTATACATTCTAGACGGGAATACAACTGCGGGTTGTAAACAAGACAACACACACGTATACATTCTAGACGGGAATACAACTGCGGGTTGTAAACAAGACAACACACACGTATACATTCTAGACGGGAATACAACTGCGGGTTGTAAACAAGACAACACACACGTATACATTCTAGACGGGAATACAACTGCGGGTTGTAAACAAGACAACACACACGTATACATTCTAGACGGGAATACAACTGCGGGTTGTAAACAAGACAACACACACGTATACATTCTAGACGGGAATACAACTGCGGGTTGTAAACAAGACAACACACACGTATACATTCTAGACGGGAATACAACTGCGGGTTGTAAACAAGACAACACACACGTATACATTCTAGACGGGAATACAACTGCGGGTTGTAAACAAGACAACACACACGTATACATTATAGACGGGAATACAACTGCGGGTTGTAAACAAGACAACACACACGTGTACATTATAGACGGGAATACAACTGCGGGTTGTAAACAAGACAACACACACGTATATATCCTAGACGGGAATACAACTGCGGTTGTAAACAAGACAACATACACGTATGCATTATAAACGGGAAAACAACTGCGGGTTGTAAGCAAGACAACACACACTTATATATTCTAGACGGGAATACAACTGCAGGTTGTAAACAAGACAACACACACGTATACATTCTAGACGGGAATACAACTGCGGGTTGTAAACAAGACAACACACACTTATATATTCTAGACGGGAATACAACTGCGGGTTGTAAGCAAGACAACACACACTTATATATTCTAGACGGGAATACAACTGCGGGTTGTAAACAAGACAACACGCACGTATACATTCTAGACGGGAATACAACTGCGGGTTGTAAAGAAGACAACACATTCTAGATAGGAAATAAGTAGTTTTATACTATGTATCTTTCATAATGGGTGTAACCTCAGTTGCGCATTATTTTACAACTTGAAGCTATTCACGACAAAAGGGATCTTTTTATAGATATAACCCAGCTTCTACAAATATAAAAATAAATGACACAAAAGTCACTTTCCTTCATTTCATACAGAAACTGTGTCCAAGTTCTATTGAATTCTGTTTCATTGTAAACATTGTTCCTTAAGTATTGATAAAGTTTGGAATATAACTCACTGTCTGAACAAATAAATCGCATGGTCCAGTTGGTCTGTTAAATGAATGTTTTATTGAATGAAAACAGTTGTTGTTACCTTTTTTACATGTATTATTTAACAATATTTTACAATCTGGGTGTTTTCCAGTTGACTGGTCCGAAGCAATCATTGTTCCTGTACATAAAATGGGCGCTTTAACAGATCCTAATAATGTCCGAGGTATCAGTCTAATTAGTTGTATGTGCAAATTATTTACATCCATACTTAACAAACGTTTGATTGACGTTTGTACTACATATGATATTTCAACGGACGCACAATTTGGATTCCGTCCAGGGGTTAGCACTGTGGATGCTATTTTCGCTTTGCAAACTATAATTTCGAAAACGTTATCTGAATAAAATAGGTTATTATTGTTGTTTCGTAGATTTCCGCAAGGCTTTTGATTTCGTAGATAGAGCAAGCCTGTGGTGCAAGTTAACAAAGCTGGGTGTTCGAGGTAAATATTTGTCTACAATTAAGTCTTTATACTCATTAGTTAAATCTTGTTTCTGATAATGTTGGATTGATGTAAGGGGAAATTTTGTCCCCGTTACTTTTTTCTTTGTTTATAAATGATTTTGAAAATAGTTTTATAGAAAATGGAGCATCCCATTATGATTTTGGGGAATTGAGTTTATTTCTTCTTCTATATGCAGATGATTTAGTTTTATTTTCTGAGTCAATCGAAGGTTTACAAAGCCTCTAGAACAATCTAAGTGAGTATTCCAATAAGTGGAAATTAACAGTTAATACCGATGAAACCAAAGTTATGGTTTTCAGAAATAGTGGTTGTATTAGAGAATCAGAAAGCTGGGTATATAACGGCAACAAAATTTCAATTGTGGATTAATTCTGTTATCTGAGGGTTCTGTTTAGATTTAATAACAAATTCAGTTTTATGGTTAAACATGTAGCAGAGCAAGGTCGTAAAGCGCTTTTTGCCTTACGATCTTAATGTAAACACATTCATTTAAACATCAAAACTACGCTACACCTCTTTGACACATATGTGAGTAGTGTATTCTAGTATGGCTGTGAAATATGGGGTAGTTATAAAGGAGTTGAAATAGAAAGGGTTCATATGGAATTTTGTAAAAATATACTGTGTGTTAAAAACTCTACGTGCAATGCTATGGTATATTTTGAGCTTGGACGACTTCCTCTGGCAAATAATCAGATGCTTCGAATGTTTAAATATTGGTTTAAGTTGTTAAATTGTGAAAATTGTATTCTAAAAGAAGCATATCAGTTTTCATTGAAAGAAACTTGGAGGGAAAACCCGAAACGAAATTGGTTATTATTCATAAAGCATGAAGTATTTGAACTAGGGTTTGGATATGTATGGTTAAGGCAGGCATCTATCGACATCTGTCTACTACCTATTATTAAACAGCGCATAGATGATCAGGCAAAACAAACTGTATTTAACTCGTTTGCCATCTCAGGTAAATGTGATTTCTATAGATATATGGTAGATACCGTGATGTTGCAATATTATTTAACAAAGTTTATACCAAAACAACGTCGAATTATGATTACCAAATTACGTATGTCAGCTCACAATCTTGCAATAGAAACGGGAAGGTACAGGATTGTTGCAAGGAATAATAGATATTGCAGTAACTGTGACCTAATAGAGATAGAAGATGAATTTCATTTTCTATTTACCTGCCCACGTCATCTAGATTTAATGAGAAAATATATTCAAAATTATTACTGGCAAAAACCATCTGTATTCAAACTTATCGAATAAGTAAATACACACAATGTAAAAGAACTAAAGAACTGAATTTGTTAGGTAAGTTTATTAATGAAGCTAACAAACGATTATTTAACTTATAAGTTTGTTTTACCTAATTTTATATTACTCAATGGTATCATGTCCATGTTTTGTTCGTACAATCTTTCTTGTTTAAGATGGTAAATCCTCAACGTTGTTGTATTTGATGAAGATGTATAAGGCAATGATGATGATGATGTTGATGTTGATGATGATGATGATGATGTTGATATTTTGATGATGATGATGATGATGATGATGAAAGTGGTAATGATTTCAATAATGTCGTGATGAATGTTCCAGTTTTATGAAATTCATGTTAATATGGTAAATATTTCATGTTGTTGTACTTTGACAATGATGCTGATGATGATGATGTAGTCGTTGATGTTGATTTTAGGAGATGATTATTTCATGATGATGAGTTATAAGACGACGACGACGGCCACTACGATGATGGTGATGATGATGATGATAATGATGAAAGCGATGAATTATGATTTCGATGATGTTGTTGCTGCTGATTTGTCATGAATGTGCCAGTAATATGAAAGTATTTGTTGTAAATCCTATAAATTGCAAAACTTACGAAAATAAATTAAATTGAATTGAGTTGGTTTATATATATGGTAAATACGTACGTGGACACCCACTGTCCGCCCAAGTCCCAGTGGTCAATGCCGCCATCTTTACACTTGAGAGGCAGAGTAAGTGTCCGGCCGCCAACCCGATCTGTATAAACAACAATGACGATTCATTAAATATGTAAACTGTCAGTTACAATCACATTATTACAACATCGGTCGTCGGAATACAGATAATTTTGATAAACAGTCAATTAAGTGTGTATTATAAAATATAAATCGAAAAAATACCTAACATATCACAGTCATACACAGAATAGCTAAAAGTCAGACAGGTAACTGTCACACAGGTAAGTTACCTGTGGGGTAAGTATGAAACAGACTATAATTGATTAGCCATTGTCTTCCTAAATCTCAACACTTTTCTTTGTTCTCTTAAATTTGGGGTAACTGAGAACACACCACTGAGGCTACCCAAACAGACAGCTACCCATACAGACAGCTACCCATACAGACAGCCTACCCATACAGACAGCTACAGACAGCTACCCATACAGACAGCTACCCATACAGACAGACTACTCGTTTGGTGACAGACACGAACCGGTAACCATTTTGAATTAACCGTGTTTCCTCCTCTGCACGCGTTCCTAAATACAGTTTATGCCCTATATCATAATAAAGAAACATATAGCTGTGACCCATTTGTTTCAGGTCTGATCGACAAATGGTGAGGTTAGCGCCTATTTTTTTATTTTATCTTTAAGCTATGCAGTATTTGAACAATGGTTCTAGGGCGGAACATCAGCAAAATTGATCAGCATAGAAACCCCCTTGTACCACTGCGAGAGTACTATATACACAATTTATAGTTGTGGAACAACATGTAGACTTGGTCTAGCGCCGGCAACAAGGAAGTTAAATTGTCTAGAGCGTCGGTCAATAGTTCAGCCAGGTTCGGATCTTTGTCTGGTGTTTTGTACCAATAAGCAGAAGAGGACAGAACATTATTGAACCCTCGGATCGATATAGGCGACACATGAGTAACATACATGATAAACAATATACAGTATTATAATAGGTAAGGTAGCCTGGAGACTGAAATGTTTGCATAACACATTTCAGAAAGTTACAAAGGTTTTTCATTAATTTTATATAAGTTGTGCCAAATAGTCCACGGTATTTGATAGTATTTGGAAACCGGAAATATTATTTGGGAATATATTTACGACTTCTAGTACAAAAAAAAAAGCTACATTCAAATACATAGTGGTATGTATTCATCACCAATAACTTGTTGATCACAAAGTGAACATAAAGGTTCATTCGTAAGAACATTTTCCCCTCTACCAATTTCAGCAGGAAGTCTGTGGTCACATGTCCGATAACGAACTAGAGTATTCCTTAAATTGTTCGGTAAGATCAAAAGATAAGGTTCTAGCTTTATTTCATTTTCAATCATTCTATAACATGACGATACAAGACGTTTACACAACAAAACAGCACAGGTAACAAACACTTAGACACACGCTGACCAGACAAACCGGTTGGACGAGTACGAGAACAAGTATATAAAATAGTGAAGTACGTCAGTCATACGTACAACTTAAGCATTCTCACTAAGACAATACTATATAGTTTAATCATTTGAATTAAACGCATATTAGAAAATAAACTAAACAATAGCACTGCCACATAACCACCGCCGTATATACATTTATGTTGACGTATTAAGAGTTTTTGATGTAACACAAAATATATGTAATTGACTGCGGTAACCTACTTGTGAATAACCGGTCCCCCCAATGGGCCCCTCGTTGTAATGTGTACATACCTGTATTACAGAACGGATACACTATGCTACCCCAACTGGTATGACAACACCCACGCATTTATGACGATCTGGTAATAAGTGTCACGTACATGTCATTGATTACAATTCTGCAGTAAATGAACACCTTATAAACACTAGTAAACACAACATATAATTAGTGCTTATTTCGCGGATATTTACTTTCACATTCAATTTGAACTTTTACCTTTCGCTTCCAGAACACATATTTTTAATCCTGGGTCCTTTTTGTGGAGGTGATACGCTGCTGACAACCCAGATATCCCCCCGCCAATGACTGCCACATCTACATGTTTCTCCATCCGTAAGTTTTCCGACGGAATATAGTTCAAGATTGTGTTGATTACTTGCCTGCAAACGACACTGTTCCGGGACTAGATTTCACTTCCGGTGTAAATGTCAGTGTTCAGGAGGGGTACCATAAAGGGACATCATTAATATGAAACGTTTTCAAATGCTGATACATTTTGAAAGTATAAAACTACCTAACTTTGCAATTGGTAATAACTACGGGTGTCAAAAGGGACAACAACTTTTGCATTTACAGAATTTCAAAAGAGTGTTAATCATTCGTACGAGTTGCGTCCCCTATAACACAGCTTCGCCGACACGTATGTGGTTATCAACGCGGGCATGAAAGGAAAAATCATTCTTGAAAAGTGGTTTGTGCATGTATATGGTACATAGAATCACGGACTTAGATAGCAATTTAATTCCGTGATAGAATGTATATGAAGTATTGCATAGCTATGTGATAGCAACGGGATTAGGTACAAGTTATACAACTACAAACCTAATTTAATAACCAATCTACTGACTTCCCGGACATTCAATTGCTAGTTAATGTCACTTTCAGACCCCTATGAACACTCAATATAATGCCCTAGAAATATATCACAGAAATCTAAACAAGCTGTCTGGATTTTTCCTCAATTCTCTCACACATTTCTGTAAGCTGGTGTGCATTAGAATGACATAGTTGAAAAACTGACTGATATGTATATAACTGAAGATAATTTTAAAAATACAAGCATATGCAAATATGTAGCGATCAGTTTTCCGGAAACTTTACTTGGAAAATGACAAAATCTTATCAGACAGAACTGAGGTATGAGAGACTTTCAATCACTACTTTGTAAATGTGGCCAATGCTATAGGAGAACACATTAGTTTTACCACTGATTTACATAAAACCATCAACAACAGCAAACACAATTACAATCACAAAGAACATTTTAGCTTCAGAACAGTACAGGAAGAAGACATCACCAAAGCTGTAGCACACGGGAACATTAACCATGCCCCAGGTGTAGACCACATCAGTGCCAAACTCATAAAAGCAGGACAACACTCTCTTACATCCCACATAACAAATCTTATCAACACAACTATCACTTTTGGTTTCTTCCCTGACATCCATATCCAAGATATAGGAACGAACTCTTTTTGATCAGCTCAGCAAATTTTTCGAGCCAGTTTTTGATAATCTTTTATGTGCTTTTAGAAAAGGATATGGATGCCAAACTATACCTTTAGAAAATATTGAAGACTGGAAAAAAGAATTAGATGAAAATATATTTGTAGTTTCTATTTTAATGGACCTATCAAAAGCTTTTGACTGCCTACCACATACAATTTTACTTGCTAAATTATCAGCCTATGGTCTTTCGAAACCTTCACTATATTTAGTAGAAAATTATTTAACTGACATAACTCAACAAATTAAAATTCACTGCCAACTATATAACTAGGCTGATGACAATACCCACATTCATCCTTAAATCTAAACAAACTTGTATCTGCACTAGAACAAGACACAAAAAAACTTATACACTGGTTCGACATAAACAAAATGAAAGCAAACCCTGACAAATTTCAAACACTAGCCATAGGAAAAGGACCCTGTCACAAAACATCTCTTTTAAAATGACACCTCTATTACATACGAAGACAGTACAAAACTACAAGGTGTTGATATAGATTTTCGGCTCTCTTTCGACCTGCACATCTAAAAGACATTTGCAGAAAAGCCTCACAACAATTAAATGTACTTTACAGGAGTAGAAAACACCTAAACAGACTAAATAAACTCACAATATTCCACACCTTTATTCTTTCACACTTTAACTTCTGCCTACTCTCTTGGCACTTCTGCTCTGAAACAAATAGTACAAAAATAGAGAAAAACTCAGTACAGGGCACTCAGATTTATCTATGACTTGTCCAGTTCTAACGATGACCTCTTGACCCGGGCACAGATACCTACTTTAAAAATTAGAAGAATGAGACAAATGGCAATAGAAACATAATTATACACAAAACCGCACCCCCATGCCTGCACGACATTGTCACACCTAAAACCCAAAATTACAGTTTCAGATACACCAACAAATTAGATATCCCACACGTTAGAACCACTACATACGGCACGAAATCATTCAGATACACAGCAGCCTGCCTTTGGAACAAATAACTTCACTCACTTCAAATCTTTAATATCCTCCTGGAACGGTACACAATGCAAATGTTCAGCCTCAACTCCATCACCATTCACTACACACTTCCTGTCTCAATTTTAAATGTATTTTATCAGATCAGTGCTAATTGATTGACTATATCACATGAAATCGTATGTGTTTTAAAATATACTAGATGTATATTGTTCTAACTACAATGTGTAGAATATGTGTTTATCTGATACTAGCTCGAAATCTGAAGTGTTTTATCTCATTTAATATGTGTGAATGTCTAAATGTTGATATATCAAACTTGTCCAAGTGTGAATGTCTTTGTATGTAATATGTATGTCGGTCAAAGGCTCTATAGAGCTTATGCTATTTATTTGTTTTAAAATGCCAATCTACTTTAAATAACATTTATCTTATCTCATCTTATCTGAAGGAGAACGTATACATTATCAGTGGGGTTTTTTGGATAGTATGACTGTTTGTATCTTTTCCTACAGCTTTACAAATTGTTAGAGTCTTAGGAATGTCGATAATATAATCTATAATACAAGGTCTGAGCTGGTCTAGCTTCTATAACAGAGACGTCAACGTCAGCATTGTCAATAGTTGATATACTAACAAGCAAAGTAGTCATTTACAATGTTAGCCATCCCCTTCTTTATTTCCAGTCGAACTCCTTAATGGTCAGTTCTACATGAGTCGCTTGGTGGTCCGAAAGTTCGCGATCTATGTCTCCTTCGTCAGCTTTCTAAAACTGCAGTGTCAGAAAGGAGAATTGGGTCAAAGCGTAAGCTGAGCGTGCGCTCAGTTCTGTCGATAATATTTGTCATTTGGAAGAAGATCATGACATCGACGAGAGAATGAGTATGACCTCATACCAGCAGGTTCACATTTTTGTCTCGTTCAGGGATGTTTCCACCGGAAGTCTAGAAAAATTCCAAGAACGCTTGTGTACAGTCTGGAGGTCTATCTACTGTGTATAAGATATTTGTATCGTTTGGAAACTGGACCTCTTCTCAGATAACTTAATCTATTTCGAATTCTAAGTCAATGTAATATTCTATAAATAATATTGGACACATGCATGTTTTTGATATAAGTCTTTTAATATTCTTAATCTACATGTACTACTGAATTATGCAACTGTACAGTAATAACAATAATATAGTACGCCCCATTTAATGTAGTAGTGATTAACAAGGCAAGTAAAACGTGTCATCTAAGATTAGTATTGAATACAAACATCTTTAGAGAGAGAGAGACAGACAGACAGACAGACAGAGAGACAGAGTGACAGACAGAGAGAGGGGGAGAGACAGAGACAGAGAGAGAGACAAAGAGAGAGACAGACAGACAGACAGAGACAGAGACACAGACAGAGAGACAGAGAGAGGGGAGAGACAGAGAGATAAAGAGACAGACATACAGACAGAGAGAAAGACAGACAGACAGACACAGAGACACAGAGACAGACAGACAGACACAGACAGACAGACAGAGAGAGAGAGAGAGAGAGAGAGACAGAGAGAGAGAGAGAGAGAGAGACAGAGAGAGAGACAGAGAGACAGACACAGAGACACAGAGACAGAGAGAGAGAGAGAGAGAGAGAGACAGAGAGAGAGAGAGAGAGAGAGACAGAGAGAGAGACAGAGAGACAGAGGGAGAGACAAAGAGAGAGATACAAACAGACAGACAGACAGACAGAGACAGACATAGAGAGGGATAGACAGACAGACAGACAGACAGACAGACAGACATAGAGAGGGAGAGACAGACAGACATAGACAGAGACAGACAGAGACAGACATAGAGAGGGAGAGACAGACAGACAGACAGACAGACATAGACAGAGACAGACAGACAAAGTGGGAGAGAGAGACAGACAGAAACAGACAGACAGACATACAGAGAAAGAGACAGACAGACAGACAGACAGACAGTAAGTACATGTACTTGATTGAAACGTATACCTAATTATCAGAATGTATAAAGTTACAGACAGTACATGTACTTGGCCGATTATAGTAGATCTTAGAATTAAAAAGCACCAGGAAGTACGGCAATAATTTACAGATATTTGACAACAATAGAGCGATTGTTTGAGAGCCAATATCTATTGAATAAATTATGTACTTTTATCTTAAAATGAGAAAGCCGGATGTACATCTCACACTTTATGTGTGTACAGCTGTTTAATAAACAGTTTAGTAAAAATAACAATCATATCAAATTAACGATACAAAAATCCGATACAGCAGCGCAATGACGCCTACTAAAATGGCGAAGCTCAAACCTCTAGTGATGTAAGATTGTTTCACTTTTCTTCTTAGATGTTGTGGTGCTTTGTATGAAGGACTGTAAGCTGTTCCGAACAGTTCTCCACTGGAGACGGAGCCAGGCCGGAGTTGATGTAATATTTCCGTTGCTGCACGTATACCGGCCTGGACTGCACCAGACATGTACCCGTCCCATTCTCTGGCGCTCTCAGAGCCGGCAAAGTGTAACCTGAGGATGGAAGATATAGCATTTATTGCCGATTTCACATATTCCAACCAACATTTTGATGTTTAATTTAGTTGATTTTCTTATCAATTTGTGATATTGATATATACATTCATACTTAAACCACCTGTGTTGTTAGCTTAGAGTGTCAACATTATTCGCTTAAAATGTCAACAAATTATAGCATCCGCCTGTTCCGGAATTCACGGTCCGGTTTTCGGGTATGTGCTTAGTCCAGTGTGTGTCACTTCCGGATACGTAAGTTACACATCAAGCCTTCGACCTGAGCGGACGTTTCCCCAGAATCAGCGGGCTGCAAGTACTCCAGACCTTCCTGAATTCCTGAAGGGTTACGTCATCAATAAGTCGACCTTAAGAAATTGTCTATTACGAACCCACATCACATTCTATATACAATAACACTCACACTCTCTCTCTCTCTCTCTTTCTAATTTAAAGCATTTTGTGTACCATAACACTGTTTTCTATCGAGGTTGAAGTGGAAAAGTGATAAAAATACTGCAAATACATGACTACTTGAGGAACCCAACACCAAGACCTCCTCCATCCCATACCTGCTATAATAAAAGGTCATTTAAGTGGAGATGTCTTCTGTGTGGCATTTGCATAGAAGCATTGAAGAAACCGAACGGATATAATGCAATACCTTTGATCTATATCTTTCTTTTCATATTTTCCTACTCTGTCTCTCCGGCGGTGTTACCTTCATCTTCGATATCCAGGGGTTACCCTCACTTTCTCTCTCTACATTCGCTCTCTACACCCCTGGAATATGTCATAGCAAACTTGAAGGCACGCGGCCAGCTATTTGATTGGTGTCAGGTAAAAAAACTGACCAATCACTGTCCTTTGAAGATTAAAAAGGAGCGATGCCCGACTTTAAAGCCTGTCAATTTTTACCGTTACGCAACCGCAAGATTCTTTTGATGTACATAAAAGGACCAAATTAGTCTTCTCGTCTCTTCCACAAGACAGTGCACACTGAGCCTTGAATTTTGCTATGACATATTCCAGGGGTGCAGAGAGTGAATGTCAAATGACATAAGCTGTTACTAGGACGTTATATTGAAACAAAGCAAAAATACAACACACTATTTATAAACTTATTTCCTGCATTTGGACGACAATATGTCTCCTACAATTTCTCGTACAGAGACATCTTGATGTGACGATGAAAGTTATGCCCTGGTGTCCCCGTGTACCCACACTTCGACAAGGTTCTCGTACAGAGAAATCACGATGTGACGATGAAAGCTCTGCCCTTGTGTCCCCGTGTACCCACACTTCGAACAGATACAGCGACACCTTTACGCCATGACAAACTGTCTGTTTTAGGTTTTATACAATCACACTTTCATGGGACTTTCAAACTCATGCAAACTCAAATACAAGACGATAGTTACCTCCCCTGCGGTTCCCGGAGACCAGCAGCAAAGTTTCGCATTGCTCCTGTACTGACGGCTGCTACAGCGCCCTCTATGAATAGCTCTTCACTCCAGTCCTTCTCAAAGTAGTCAAGGCAGCTTTCGGCTTGCGACCCGAAGAAATCTGTCAATGTCTTTAAAACTGCGTTTTTTCTCGTGTGAGCCTGAAACAGGGGGGTCGGGTATTAAAACAGGAGGATCGGGTATTACAACAGGAGGATCGGGTATTACAACAGGAGGATCGGGTATTAAAACAGGAGGGTCGGGTATTAAAACAGGTGGGTCGGGTATTACAACAGGAGGGTCGGGTATTAAAACAGGAGGGTCGGGTATTAAAACAGGAGGGTCGGGTATTACAACAGGAGGGTCGGGTATTAAAACAGGTGGGTCGGGTATTACAACAGTAGGGTCGGGTATTACAACAGGAGGGTCGGGTATTAAAACAGGAGGATCGGGTATTACAACAGGAGGGTCGGGTATAAAAACAGGAGGGTCGGGTATAAAAACAGGAGTGTCGGGTAGTAAAACAGGAGGGTCGGGTATTAAAACAGGAGGGTCGGGTATTAAACCAGGAGGGTCGGGTATTACAACAGGAGGGTCGGGTATTAAAACAGGAGGGTCGGGTATTACAGACGAGGATTCAAAGAGGAACAAACCAATGACTAATTCAAGTATTAGGACTATGTATTAGGACTATGTATTAGGACTGTGTATTAGGACTATGATAAAGTCTCTGTTGAACATATTAACTGTAAAGTATTTTTAGCAGTTCGTTTAACACATATTAAAAGGGTTTTAATTCGACTTACTCAAATGTAAACCCTACGGGAGTATACTTAGTATGTTCTGTCACACATTTTGGATTAAAAATCAACAGCCTAGTATACTATCCGGAGTCGTCCACTGACGGATCACGGTTTATTGACGATTTTCTAATCAAACATGTTACATTTGTAATACCTTAGAAAGACAACTGCAGCAATGTCTTAAGAAAGCTCAAACCTGGGTAAATAAAACACTGTGTATGCACTTCTGACAGTTACACGATGATCCTTGTAAACTTTTCAACAAACAACATATTTTGGACTTATTTTAGACTCACAGTTATCTTTACTTCCTCTTTAAAAAAATGTGAAAGAAAAAAATTGGTATAAAGCTCTAAATATTCTCAAAGTATTGTCCAGATAGATAGGAGAGCAGACCGTGACGTACTGCCTCTGTGTGTTGAAGCAAGAAAATCACCACTCATGGAATGAAGAACGAAATGATCTTTCGGTTTGCTGAACAATTGAAATCAACTCCAGAAAATCTAGCGTTTTAGTCAGCATTTTATCCAAATTATTCAAATCTTTTCGAATGAAATGAGAAATTGATCCCATCTTTTGACGTTAGACTTCAAAAACTACAAGAAATTTTAATCTATTCCCATCAGCAATCAGAATTGCTTTTATATCCGATATTCCATCGAATTGGGCTGCCCGTTGTTTAGAGTCACACAATTTTGAAAAATCTCGCACTCTCCCGTTCAAAACACGAGAGTACATGTATCGATGTTTTACATACAATTGTATACAGTGACCGCTCTTCATCCTCAATATCCAGGAGTAACGCTCACTTTCTCTCTGTGTACCCCTTGAATATGTCATAGCAAAATTGAAGGCACGAAGATAGCTGTTTGATTGGTCTCAGGTTAAACAAACTGACCAATCGCTTCGCTTATACCTGTCCTTTGAAGATTACAAAGGAGCAACACTCGACTTCAAAGCCTGTCCTTTTTACCTTTACGCGACCCGAGATTCTTTTGATGTACATCAAAAGATCGAACTAGTCCTCATGTCTCATCAACAAGTTGGTACACACTGAGCCTTCACTTTTGCTATGACATATTCCAGGCGTGCAGAGAGTGAAAGAGAGCGAAACCCCTGGATATCGAGGATGACCGCTCTAAGGTCGAGGATGACCGCTCTAAGGTCGAGGATAGAATATCGAGGATGACCGCTCTAAGGTCGAGGATGACCGCTCTAAGGTCGAGGATAGAGTATCGAGGATGACCGCTCTAAGGCCGAGGATGACCGCTCTAAGGTCGAGGATAACCGCTCTAAGGTCGAGGAGAAATTGCAGCAATATGTGTTGTTGCCAACTTGTCGTTACCAAACAGTACTTCTATTTTTACTGCTGAATAACAGGTGGGTTGGATTTGGGTAAATTAAAGAATGAAATAAAAAAGCAATAATTTACCCTAATCGTTGTCGTTCCGACAAGTTTTAAGAAATCAAGACTTTCATATACAGAACATCGCCATTCGTATCAACCGGATTTTACTGATCTGTCACATGATCTTTATGTGAATACCCGGTCATGTTGGAATAGGTAGTACTAATGTAGGTTCATTTGCAACAAGAAGAGCAATCGCACAAAGGGCGTTTCCTATAGCGATTGCGCATGAGCAAAACCTACATTACGTATTGTTACATTTCACAATACCTACATTACGTGTAGTTACATTTTACAATACCTACATTACGTGTAGTTACATTTTACAATACCTACATTACGTGTAGTTACATTTTACAATACCTACATTACGTGTAGTTACATTTTACAATACCTACATTACGTGTAGTTACATTTTACAATACCTACATTACGTGTAGTTACATTTTACAATACCTACATTACGTGTAGTTACATTTTACAATACCTACATTACGTGTAGTTACATTTTACAATACCTACATTACGTGTAGTTACATTTTACAATACCTACATTACGTGTAGTTACATTTTACAATACCTACATTACGTGTAGTTACATTTTACAATACCTACATTACGTGTAGTTACATTTTACAATACCTACATTACGTGTAGTTACATTTTACAATACCTACATTACGTGTAGTTACATTTTACAATACCTACATTACGTGTAGTTACATTTTACAATACCTACATTACGTGTAGTTACATTTTACAATACCTACATTACGTTTAGTTACATTTTACAATACCTACATTACGTGTAGTTACATTTTACAATACCTACATTACGTGTAGTTACATTTTACAATACCTACATTACGTGTAGTTACATTTTACAATACCTACATTACGTGTAGTTACATTTTACAATACCTACATTACGTGTAGTTACATTTTACAATACCTACATTACGTGTAGTTACATTTTACAATACCTACATTACGTGTAGTTACATTTTACAATACCTACATTACGTGTAGTTACATTTTACAATACCTACATTACGTGTAGTTACATTTTACAATACCTACATTACGTGTAGTTACATTTTACAATACCTACATTACGTGTAGTTACATTTTACAATACCTACATTACGTGTAGTTACATTTTACAATACCTACATTACGTGTAGTTACATTTTACAATACCTACATTACGTGTAGTTACATTTTACAATACCTACATTACGTGTAGTTACATTTTACAATACCTACATTACGTGTAGTTACATTTTACAATACCTACATTACGTGTAGTTACATTTTACAATACCTACATTACGTGTAGTTACATTTTACAATACCTACATTACGTGTAGTTACATTTTACAATACCTACATTACGTATAGTTACATTTTACAATACCTACATTACGTTTAGTTACATTTTACAATAACTTCATTACGTATAGTTACATTTTACAATACCTACATTAATTAGATCAACCTTTGAAAGCAAAACATTGCATGATTGAAGACAATAATGTTAAACAAATACGTGATATATTGTATAATGCACCGTCCATGAAAAGTTTATTTGGTACAGTTTCTTTCAATTAAAATATGCATGTTTACCGTGTTGTCTTGCCCTAAATGTCTTGCATGAACGACTGACCGTGAAACAATATAACAACAATAACAATACTCACTTTCTGTCTGCCCCATTGGATAGCTTGATCTCCCGCCAAGAACGCCACCAGCGCGGGACTTCCTGTTGGAGTTGTTGCATCGAACACAATAGAAAGAGGGCCTACGTCACATCCGCTTACGTCACTGGGACCGCCATACGTCACAGCCTCTCCAGATTGGCCATTGGACCTCCAGAATGCCTGTACATCAAGTGTGTTTTTTTGCGTTAGATAAAAACGAATTGCGTCTGTTGTTAAGTTGATATCGGATTTGAACACCACTTTAGGAACACATCGCTAACATACAGATATGTGAGCCTCTTTGTCGTCACACTGGTGTAACAATTACAATAACGTCGTTTAATCCTTAAAATTATATTCTAAAACTTATTGTATTCTGTTTGTATTGTCAATGAACTTTATTTTTCATTTGGCAACACTCCAATTATCTTGGTCACTTGAGCGATTAAGCACGAGCGACATAACATACAGTATCCCCGCTCCTGTATTATTACCTCCTGGTACGTGACAATGACTTTGATGTAGTTTCCAAAGGGCATCCATTTCTCTATCTCTCTTCGCTGTAAGGACAGCTGGGGCTCAAACTGTATTTTTCCTGTGAAAGATCAATATTACACTTCAAATAATTGTCGAGATGAAATGGTTGTTGAAATTCTTACTTATTTTTTGAGGATTGAAAGCGCTTCTTTGCTGCAACTCAGTCTGTGGGACCTGATGAATGACTCACAGTCTGTGAGACCTGATGAATGACTCACAGTCTGTGAGACCTGATGAATGACTCACAGTCTGTGAGACCTGATGAATGACTCACAGTCTGTGAGACCTGATGAATGACTCACAGTCTGTGAGACCTGATGAATGACTCACAGTCTGTGAGACCTGATGAATGACTCACAGTCTGTGAGACCTGATGAATGACTCACAGTCTGTGAGACCTGATGAATGACTCACAGTCTGTGAGACCTGATGAATGACTCACAGTCTGTGAGACCTGATGAATGACTCACAGTCTGTGAGACCTGATGAATGACTCACAGTCTGTGAGACCTGATGAATGACTCACAGTCTGTGAGACCTGATGAATGACTCACAGTCTGTGAGACCTGATGAATGACTCACAGTCTGTGAGACCTGATGAATGACTCACAGTCTGTGAGACCTGATGAATGACTCACAGTCTGTGAGACCTGATGAATGACTCACAGTCTGTGAGACCTGATGAATGACTCACAGTCTGTGAGACCTGATGAATGACTCACAGTCTGTGAGACCTGATGAATGACTCACAGTCTGTGAGACCTGATGAATGACTCACAGTCTGTGAGACCTGATGAATGACTCACAGTCTGTGAGACCTGATGAATGACTCACAGTCTGTGAGACCTGATGAATGACTCACAGTCTGTGAGACCTGATGAATGACTCACAGTCTGTGAGACCTGATGAATGACTCACAGTCTGTGAGACCTGATGAATGACTCACAGTCTGTGAGACCTGATGAATGACTCGCAGTCTGTGAGACCTGATGAATGACTCACAGCTGTTTATGGAGACTTTGAAAATAAATGTTTGACTCTCCAAAATGAGCTTCAATTCATGGGTTTGTAATAAAATATCTATTTGACATGTGTTTTAACCCTCAAGGTATATGTGATTGAACTTCTGACATTGATAAATGTTAAGGGTAAACTGAAAGTTCTGGAAAACCTGATGAAAACTCGCGGTTTATGAGACTTATAAGTGACTATTTATTTCATTGTCTGGGAAACCTGGGACACCACTCGTAGGTTTGGAGACTAATAAATTACTCACTTGCAACCATCGGCGGTGCGGCCATCACTGCTCGCTTACAGCTCACTGTCAGTCCGTTCCGGCATTTGAGTTGAATGCTTTTCTCATTCTTAAACAAGAAATATTTGTAAAGAAAATCATCGGAACTTAATGTCCGTAGTATTGAATATAAACACGAATGTGTATCTGTAATAATAGTACTGCTCCTACATCCTTTGTTAGACTCAATACAAGTGGTATTATTAAATACTCAGAACAATGTTAAAAACAAAACTAGGTCTATTGGTACCGCATCGGACATTCGATTTCAAACATGGAAGCACGTCCTTAAATGACCTTAGTCACCAGACTAAAAAAACTGTTATCGTTAATATGAGACTGCGATATCAACGTCAACATCTTCTGTATCCCACCGCCTGATCGTAAGAGGCGACTAATGTGGAGTACCTGTGGAATCGGGGTTTTCTTCTACTAAGGGGACATGGAAGGGACTAGAATTTATCTACTGCTTCTAATGTAAGCCTTGGGGTCTTTTTCGCTTCCTATCCTTTCTGTCTACATACTTTCTTTTTCTATCTACTTTCTTTTCCTAACGGCGTCACCTTGAGTACCCGTCATCTGCGTCCCTCACTGTTGCCAGGACGTTAAACCACAAACAACTCTCTTTCCGATGGCGTTTTTGTAGTCACGCGCGCGTCCTCATATAACCCTGACCGATACGGGACGTTTAATACCAAACAAAACAAAACAAATCGCTCTTTGTATTTTCGACAGAAGGTTGTTGCATATTGTTCAAAAACATCAACAACCTACACGGACATTTACCTGTATCACCTTAGTAACAGCGTGCTCCAGCAGGACATTGTCTGTCCCGACTTTCTCCGCTAAAATCTTAGAGATCTGCTGCGTTCCTCCCTGTAAGTAAATGGTTGGTACACACTTATATCCGGGTACTACGTGCAGAAGGAAACGTTATGATTAAGATTCTATCACGTGATCAAGTAAGATTGGAATGGTACATGTATAACGTCACTACAAACATGTAAGTTATAATGTCTAAAACTATTTAATATCATAAACATTTACAATCAGATATAATGTCACTCTATAAACGGTAACACTTCTCTATAATCCCATTCTCCAGCACACATACTCACATGCACACTTACAGAACACACATGGAGGCACGTCCTTAAATGACCTAACCTGTTGATAGGACGTTCAACAAAATATAACCAGACCAAACTATAATCACATTCAATAGTAAGTACGAAAAGACCATTTAGTTAAGGATCCTCTTATAACAGCCAGAATTGGAACTATGCATCGGACATTTTTTTCGGGTGTGACAATAGCTTTGATCAATCTTAAAAGAATATCACTTGTGAAACTTTGACGGAAATTAAAAGAGAAGAAGAGAACAAACACAAAATAAAAAGAGTGTTTAAAGTTTAAAAATACCACGTGACTTAACTAGGATGCGAAACCTGGACCGGCAATCAGTATGCTGTCACCTTTACCAATAAATCTACTTGGTAAACTGATATTTCACTCGACTTAGTTAATTTTCAAAAGTTACAAAAGACACGAGCTTTAGTTGAAGATTAACTGATGAGAGTGAAATAAATACCATACTCAACAACCACGAGCCGTGTGATCTGTTTCTACCACAATCTCAGTCGGAAATAGCTGGAGTATTTCCTGATGCGAATAACATACACACGCGACCCATATGTAAAACGTCACTCATTAATATTAAAAAATGACATTTGTTTTACAAATTTAATAATTTTCAAAATTAATGTTTCGGCAACAACTTCATGAAAAAATATAATAGATGAACGACTTTAAATAATGAGAGTAGCAGTATTGCATTAATTAATATAAATTAACCACTGACTACATGTACGTAAGCATATCGTACGAAGTCTGCCTCCCGCCAAGTGATGAAGACGGACTAATCGCTGTCAATGTCCAAAGCCATAGGCCTACGTTTCTTCGTGACGATTCTATGGTTGAGGTTTATAGTGAGAGTTCCGCCATAGACAGGCCCTCCAAATATTGATAACGGGACGTGAGGAGAATGAAACATTTTCCGACACTGTGTCAGATCCTGTTTGGGTTTCACGACCTGGCATGGACACGCAACGGTATGGCGTCGAAACGATAACGAGCGTCTGTAGCAATTTTGCCTGAAACTAGCAATCAAATGTTTAAGTATCATCTTCCTTTGATATTGCCCTAATAATCCCCTTTCCCATCGCATAACCTCACAAAAGTCACCAACAATTGCCGGGTGTTGACAGCAGACGACGTAAACAAAACAGCACGCAGCAAAAAGCGCGTGAAAAAAGTCGTTCGGTCAAGGTTCATCTTCTCGACCAATCAAAACTACGGAAGTCATATTTATCAAACAGTCTGCATGTTTATACAATGATCTGAGAGTGGAATAACACAGCGTATTGTGGTAGAAAAGATCATTCACGCTACAGTTATATCCGAATTGAAATTGAAGAGAAGTAACTCTATGAACGAGAACTGTATTGGTGTACGAGGAGTTGGACAGGGATCCTTACTCGTACTTCCAGAAAACACTTGTAGTATTATCGTTTCTATAAGCCTCGCACACCTTTTATATACACAATCCGAGCAAAGTGTTGACCAACTGTATTGGGAGGCAAGAACAGGGTTTTAAGGAATATACTATTTATCAAGATAAACGGACTTTAGCCATTTTAACAAGCTAAAAGGCTGCGCGGCCATGATACTCTGTCTGGTAAAATCAAGCCGCAGTCTGTACGTAAGGAAGTTTTCACTTAGCTGGAATCAGCAGCTGGAATTCCTTACGGGGTCACGTGGTCTTATCTTCCAGTATCCGTTATCCAGTACTATGGTCTGAATATAGAGGTAAGTAGGCCTACGTTCTGAATACGCGAAGATAAAATGAATCAAGTGACCCTACCTTGACCTTTAAACCCTGAGCGGCATCTTCGTTTGCTTCCATGAGGATCATTAGGCCACCGGCGGATGACACCAAACTAAGGAAGTAGAGGGTGGACATCTGTGACGGTTCCATGGTAACGGTGGTACGAATGGCGGCCGCAACTGTCTCGTAGGCACCTACACAGACAAGTGTATATAAGAAAGGCGATATAAAACATAGAAAATACAAATAATTACAGAGGCATTACTCTGGGGAAGTTGAAAATAATGTAATAACAGATGCTCAAATTGGTTTTAGACCCAGACATTCAACCGTTGATGCAATATTTGTACTTCAGACTTTAATTAATAGATATTGAAGTAAACAAGAGGCTCATGGGCCTTAACGGTCACCTGAGTTCAACAGTATTTATTTTTGTTGTTGAAATATGTACTAATTTGAGTAAAAAATAGTTAAGTATAATGTTAACTCAACTTTGTCAGGACCATGAGCTGATCATTCCTAGACCGATTTTCAGTGAGATCGGCCTATTAGAACTTGTTTTAAAGTTTGAAATAGGTATTTACAAAATAGCGGCCATGGCAGCCAAATTGTATTTCTGATTGACCCGAAAAATGACAACACTTTGTCAGGACCATGATTCGATCATTCCTACAAAGTTTCAGTTCAATCGGCCAAGTAGAACTTTACTTTAAGTTTGAAATAGTTTTTCAAAATGGCGGCTGTGGCGGCCATATTGGATTTCTGATCGACCCGAAAAATAACAACACTTTGTCAGGACCATGAGTCGATCATTCCTACAAAGTTTCAGTTCAATCGGTCTAGCAGAACTTTACTTTAAGTTTGAAATAGTTTTTCAAAATGGCGGCCATGGTGGCCATATTGGATTTCTGATTGACCTGAAAAATAACAACACTTTGTCAGGACCATGAGTTGATCATTCCTACCAACTTTCAGTTCAATCTGCCCAGCAGAACTTGACTTTAAGTTTGAAATAGTTTTTCAAAATGGCGGCCGTGGCGGCCATATCGGATTTCTGATCGACCCGAAAAATAACAACACTTTGTCAGGGCCATGAGGCGATCATTCCTACCAACTTTCAGTTCAATCGGCCCATCAGAACTTGACTTTAAGTTTGAAATGTAAAATGTTAACGGACGACGGACGACGATGGATGAAAACGGATAGCAATAGGTCACTTGAGCTAAAGTTCAGGTGACCTAAAAAGGTTGTAGACTTTACTGTTCCTTTGTTGATTACAAGAAAGCTTTTGACTTATTCGACAGATCTCATATGTGGTGCAAATTGATTAAGCAGGGTGTTAGAGGGAAAATGTTTCAGTTAAGTCATGTGTAAAGCAAAATGGTTTTTATTCAGGGTTTTTTTCAAATACAATCGGTCTATTTCAGGGGGAAATTTTGTCACCCATTTTATACTCCATGTTCGTCAATGACTGTGAAATCAATTTTATAAAAAAGGTTGTCCATCTATTGAAATCATATAATAACAAGTACAAACTCAATTGGAACACTGATTAGACGAAAATAGTAGTTTTCACGAATGATTGCGGGATACAAAACAACGAAAAATAGTTGTACGACACTAAAGAGCTCCAAGTCGTCGACCAGTTTAATTACCTAGGCATGCTCTTTAACTACATCGGTAATTTTGATGTCACTCAAAAGCATGTTGCAGATCAGGGTAATAAGGCATATCATGCGCTTTGTAATAAGTTCAAAAGTCATAATTCTAATATCAAAACACAATGTTCTGTATTCGACACTTATATCAATAGCGTCTTAAGTTACAGTGCAGAAGTATGGGGCTTTCATAAAGCTCTTGATGTTGAAAAGATACACATACATTTTTGTAAAAGGCTACTCGGAGTCAGGAAGAGTACTTGTAATAATTTAGTTTATTGTGAGTAAGGAAGATTACCATTGTATGTATGTAGAAAACTGAAAAGTTTTAAATATTGGTTAAAATTAAAAACTCCGAATAATTGCATTTTAAGTTTAAACAGACCACGTGTCCACAGCGATTCCTTTAGGAACGTCTCTAGAGTTTTGGTATCCCACTCCTCGCCTTTACTACAGTTGTAAGGATCCTCGTGGTCGACCTGCTTCCGGAGTCTCTCTACCTGGTTGATACAACACGTGTAAACATGGTTATCACTAAGGTAACCACTGGAATCACTCACGTGCCCGTAACAATTTAATTATATTTGTCTGATTGGTTAAAAAAAGAGTTTATTCGTTTTCTTTAACATTCACGTCGCGTTGAGATAACTTGGAGACTTACATTTGTACAGAACATTCTCGTCGCATTGAGATAACTTGGAGACTTACATTTGTACAGAACATTTAACCAAGGAATAGGGTGTCAACGAAAATGATAGTATGGTTATGAAAACTCGTATCATAGACAATGCTAGCTTGTTTAAAGGAGACGTGACGTCATAGAAAAGGAATATGACGTCAAAGAAATTGCATGGCGTTATAGAATTTGTCACAAAATTCCTGGAATGGATTATAGGAATAATTCTAGTATCCAGTCGGAATATAAAGACAAAGTATTCACTTTTGATGAAAATACATAATGATGAATAACTATAGAAGCGAAAGAAACCATTATATTAAAAGTTCGGCGTCAAACAACATGGCTTACCTTCCATATAAATAACTGAAGGTCAATGAGTTCAAACGGTGAAAGAGATGGAATATCGGACTTGTAGCTTTGGATTTTTGCACTCTCAACCTGCATAACCTTTGACCCTGTGGTGAATTGTGGGTAGGTTTCCAGCCCAAGTTCCTCAAGTAAAGCCATGATGTCTTTCTGTGATCTTTAAGTTTTGATGAAAATAAAAAAAATTAACACTGCTGATTTTCCATCGTGATTTATTGTCACGAGAATGTTGTACAATTATTTTATATCACAAAAACGAGTTTGTAGACAAACCCAACCACAGGTTTTGCACAATCATAGTGGCTGTACTGCCAGTGGCGTACCATTTTACAACTTGAATTCTTTTTTTTTTTTTTTGGAAATATGCCGCAAAACCATTTTTCTTCATCTTATACAGAAATTGTGTCCAAAGTTTGTTGAATTTGATTGAACTATAAGATTACCATATATGCTGCCGCCTGTAATGTTTTAACAAGTCCTTAATGCGCATGTCAACGTCAGGCGCCACGCCGTCGTTATACATTTGACGTCATTTCATACGTCAAATGTATGTATGTGAATTGTACGTCATTTCATACTATTTCGTCGACCACCTTGATAATATAATTTTGTGTTTTGTTGACCAACACTACGATCTATTAAACATTGTGTCTTAAGTAGTTGGTTGATATGGGGAAAATACGTACGTGGACACCCACTGTCCGCCCAGGTCCCAGTGGTCAGTTCCGCCATCTTTACACTTGAGAGGCAGAGTAAGTGTCCGGCCGCCAACCCGATCTGGAAATGTAAAGACCACAGTTACGTCAAATTACATTGTTACAACCTCGGTCATTAGGTTACCGACAATCAGCGATTCTGTTTTACTCGTTAAGCGATAGATATGTGGCTTTTAAATGAAGATAGGATCACGGTGGCCTTCCAGCTTTACAATAGAGGTAATTTCTCTTCAGCCCAATCGGTAGAGCGGCGGACTGGAAAGTTTGGGGTTGCTGTTTCGATCTCTGGTGAAAGCATACTATTCTCTTTCCTGATTTAGACAAGACCACGTGACCGCTCTGAGTTAAAACGTGTCTCACGTGATGATTCAAAACGTACGGGTGATCCTGACGTTTAGTCAACATGCCAACTGGGAAATACTAATGAATGTAGTCCGGATTCTACAGACTTCAGTTATCCTGTATTATCCGACAACCAGGTATCTTTATTTCGTCAGAGCGTCAGTCTATAACTCCGCCGGTGTCAGAGCGTCGGTCTATAACTCCGCCGGTGTCAGAGCGTCGGGCTATAACTCCGCCGGGGTCAGAGCGTCGGTCTATAACTCCGCCGGTGTCTGAGCGTCGGTCTATAACTCCGCCGGTGTCAGAGCGTCGGTCTATAACTCCGCCGGTGTTTGAGCGTCGGTCTATAACTCTGCCGGTGTCAGAGCGTCGGTCTATAACTCCGTCGGTGTCAGAGCGTCGGTCTATAACTCCGCCGGTGTCAGACCGTCGGTCTATAACTCCGCCGGTTTCGGATCTTGGCCTGGCTGTTGTATTATTCCTTTCTTGTTACATTATCAGTATTAGTGGAGTGCTAATAGGCTAGGGGTTGATTTCCAGCGTCAGAAACTTAGTATAGGCCTTCATAATAGGCGTTATAAAATACGTGATTTATTTATCACCGGAATACGAGTGTCGAATTTCGTCCACGTCAATGTTCACTATCTGGATCATCGTGAAACTGATGAAACAAAATCGATATTAAAGATAAAACAAAGGTCAACCCTCCGTAAATCACATAGCAATAACCAGCGCCGTATATATATTTATGTTGACGTATTAAGAGTTGTTCATGTTTACATTCGCAGAGATATATTTGTATCGTGACATTTATATGACGTTTCTAACAAAAAATGGGTTCAATCGACTGTGGTAGCCTACTTGTGAGTAATCCGTTTCCCCCGATGGGCCCCTGACTGGCATGTTTACATACCTGTATTACATATAGATAGTATAAACGATGCTAACCCAACTGGTATGACAACACCCACGCATTTATGACGATCTGGTAATGAGTGTCACGTGCATGTCATTGATTACAATTCTGTAGTAAATGATCACCTTATAAACACTAGTAAACACAACATATAATTAGTGCTTATTTCGCGGATATTTACTTTCACATTCAATTTGAACTTTTACCTTTCGCCTCCAGAACACATATTTTTAATGCTGGGTCCTTTTTATGGAGGTGATAAGCTGCTGTCAAACCAGATATCCCTCCGCCAATGACTGTCACATCTACATGTTTCTCCATTCGTAAGTTTTCCGACGGAATATAGTTCAAAATTGTGTAGATTACTTGCCAGCAAACTACACTGTTCCGGGACTAGATATCACTTCCGGTATAAAGGTCAGTGTTCGGGAGGGGTACAATAAAGGGACATCATTACATGAAACGTTTTCAAATGTTGATACAGTTTTAAGGTATAAAACCACCTAACTTTACAAGGCAAATAAAAGTAAATACGGGTGTCATAACGTTTTGCATTCACAGAATTTTAAAAGAGTATTCATCATTCGTACGAGTTGCGTCCCCTATCACAGACACTCTTTGCGTGCCAATTTGTTGAGAACTTTAAAAAAAGGAATATTTATTTAAGATGAAATACACAGTATTCATTAAATTTATTTTGCTTGTCGTATGAAAAGTGAAAATCTGGAAGCTAAGGGGCCAAAACAACGACCTTATGGGAGCACATCCTTTGAGAAGGCGTCGTCCAGTAAGGACAATTTCTCAATATTGCTATTCAGGAAAAATGTTAACACTCATGAACCGAGAAATGGATATCATGGCGACGAAATAAGTCTAAACCAGGAAAACTATTGTATTGCTAATTTGTCAATATGAAAGGGAGAGAACTCCAGGTGGATAAATCAGCTCCTTATAATATAGTGACTTAGTTTATTATACCACTTGAAACGGGAAGACACTTAATAAAATAGAAACGCATACGGAACCTACATATACACAAGAATAATTTATAAAAGGAGATGACAACAGCTATTTGGGAAAGTTTTGTCGATTCATGCAGAGTCTTTAAGTACTCTTTCCAGTTTTATGGCGTCTTTTGTTGAATGAGTTCAAGTGTCCTCACAATTATATTGCGATCTATGACGTCCCTGGGTCGTACTTTTCTGTTTCCCTGATCTCACAAAGGGTACATCTAATTCCGTTTTTATTTTATTTTAATAGTGTCGTTTCTGTCCGAATCCAATTAAAACTATTCTATAACGAGACGGTGCATTAACCCAGGCAGTGTCATGCTTGTGTCTTAATTAAATGAAGAAGTACAAATCTTTGACAATCTAATTTGATCTACGATCCAGTAACGAATCCGGAACTTGACTATGATCTGTTTAATTGTTTAGTGATGCGGTAGTCACATGTCGTATTTCTCCAATTATCCGGAATCACCGATTGTTTAATTGTTGTGACACGTTTTCCTACTGTTTTGTCATTATACGATACATGTAACCTCCACGAGAATTATGTCTTTCACCCTTATTGTTACTATGAGAGATTTCGCCAGAGTACATCATTTACGAGGTTGTTATTAATTAATTGGACATGTACTCGGTATTTACTGTCCTGTCTTGAGTAGTCATGAAGGGTTGCTCGTTGCAATGCACTTTGGGTCTAATAATTCAGTGGCAGATCCAGAGGTTTTTTGGGGGCTTTTTGGGGGGCTTCAAGAAGACAAGCTGCTACGAGGTTGTTATTAATTAATTGGACATGTACTCGGTATTTACTGTCCTGTCTTGAGTAGTCATGAAGGGTTGCTCGTTGCAATGCACTTTGGGTCTAATAATTCAGTGGCAGATCCAGAGGTTTTTTGGGGGCTCCAAGAAGACCCCCCCAACACCCACCCAACACCCACCCACCTCAACACCACTCCCCTGACTGACTTTACCGATTAGTAGCTAACAGCTTACTTATCAAAGATTTAACAGAGATCATGTGTGAAATACCTCAGCAGAGTTCAATTCGTATTTCATGGCCTTAAGGTCAACGCAAAGGTCACTGTTGCTATTTATATGACAAATACATAGCCGAGGGATGATTCTTGTTTTACATGCGTTTTTTAGTTTCTGTTGTAAATAGACACATTAACATATTAAGAAATAACTGTCTATGTAAACACGGGCTCTGGTGGAAATAAACACATTATTTCTCAATCGTAGGCAGGTTTATGTAGAACAACCATTAAGTGTTACTGTGTGACGTTTCGGCGACTATTACGGTATGTTTTCTGTTACTTTCATCGGAGAAATGATCGGTAAAGCGTATGTACAAAAAATGTGTAAAATATATACAAGACGGCGACATAAAATCGACGTTGATACAGCTACCCTTCAAGTGTCAAACTTAGTGGTTGTACAAGTGCGAAATAGCGAATCAAACAGACAAATCGACCCGGCTGTACTTTGTTTAATATATTATCACAGATGTGCGAGATTCTATGAGCCTCTCATCTCGATTCAGACCTGGTCCACTGTGGCGTTTCCAAATAGCTTCCTTTATCTGTCACTTCAACAGATCCAATCCATACTTACCAATTAAAACAAAATGTTCAGAAACATCGCTCTACACTGTGAGCCTTCTCGCCGCTTCACTGTTGCGCCATTCGCTGTATGTTTAATCAAACCATTACTATCAGATCACAGGTATGAAGATTCCGTTTCTCAAATTTACTCGTACCAAGTGTAAGGTGGCTAGAACATGAAATATATTTTAGATACTTAACTTCTCTCCTTTTCCTTTTTTTTTTTTTTTTTAAATATAGTTTGACAAGAATCAATATTAATGAACCAACTTTCCAATGATGGGTAATGTAAGTAAATGTATCGACATCGTCCACCAGTATATAAACCTTGGAACAGTCACATCAGTTGTTGCATATACTAGTAGGTGATAGAACTACAACATTGGCTGTTACTGTTGTGTAAGTAGGCGAAGTGTGTACTTGCCAGTCGCCATTTTGAGAAGTACTGACTAAACGTTAGACCTCATTTCGTTTCATATCTAAAACGAGTTTTTTTTTATTAAAACTCTTTTGTAAACCAATCAAAAAAAAGCTAAGCATTCAGTCTGCCTTGAATGAATTAAATGACGCTCTGAAACCCAAAACTATCTTCAATGTTCAATTGTCAAAAAGTAATTTACAAAATGGGATGATGATACGCTGATAATTAAAAGTATTAACATCGTTGAACCTGGTGTTATTTTGGGGAACACAGCGTTCACAGTGGCGCGGCTCGACTATACACATTCATTTATGTTCTCTTAGTTTGATAAGAAGATCACGTAGGTGTACACAATATGGTATTTTCACGACGGATAGATTTTAAAAACCGACTGCATTCCGAAACTGAAAGCTAGCTCACATAAATATCAATGTATGTTGGAAGCTGGTTTAAATATTTCGACAATACTATCCATGTTAAGTGAATGTAACAACTCTTTGATAGCTGGCCTTGATCATTCACATCTAGCTGCTTCAGATCTGCTGTGGTTATGTTACATGTTATGGTGCGGTGTCGGGTCAGATCTGTTTTATGAAAACCTGGGTTTTATTTGAAGTGGTGTCATGTTTCCTATATAGTTATCTGTTAGATCAGCGACAGTTTAGTGTTGTAAGTAATTTATATTTGATCCTCCTTATCGCAGTACACACGACACTATCGCTGACCCTACATATACTTTTATTTGTAATATATGTATTTTGGAGATTCATTAAAAACTAATAACACCGTCAAAGAGCTGTTTATTTACATAATTGGCCAGTTCAGTTTCGTCACAGGCCGGATCTATATGCGTGCCTTAATTTACATTTTGAGAATATCTGTTAGTGATATAAATACATTTTAAATTGTAACATAATTGTTCTTGAGATAAAAGCAACAAAAAAATAACCACAAGGTCAATTATCAGAGAATGTACGTAGTTGGCCGGTTGAGCTTGAAGAAAAATTGGCTTTGGTTTAAAACCTGTTTATTGTCAGGCGTGGAGACGGTTATACGGTGTAAGTTATCGTTACGCCTTCTTCTGAACAAAACATCACAACTACATAACAATGGAGGCATGTATAACAATAATTAAGATGTCAGGTGACTTTTTAGATCTATTACTGATATCGAAGACTTTTTGCATCTGAAAATGTTTATCTTTTATTAGTCATTCATAAAACTACTAGCCGCTTTGTGCCGACTCGGCTAGAGAGAATCTCTCTTTAGCTCTTTCAGTCGAGCCTAAGACTAGTAAACCAGAGGACCCGGTAAATATTGACCTCTGTTACACTGGCACCCATTGGGGACCCGGGAAATAATGACCTCTGTTACACTGGCACCCATTGGGATCCCGGTAAATATTGACCTCTGTTACACTGGCACCCATTGGGGACCCGCTAAATAATGACCTCTGTTACACTGGCACTCATTGGGAACCCGGTAAATATTGACCTCTGTTACACTGGCACTCACTGGAGACCCGGTAAATATTGACCTCTGTTACACTGGCCCCCATTGGGGACCCGGTAAATAATGACCTCTGTTACACTGGCACCCATTGGGATCCCGGTAAATATTGACCTCTGTTACACTGGCCCCCATTGGGGACCCGGTAAATAATGACCTCTGTTAGACTGGCAACCATTGGGGACCCGGTAAATAATGACCTCTGGTAAACTGGCACCCATTGGGGACCCGGTAAATAATGACCTCTGGTAAACTGGCACCCATTGGGGACCCGGTAAATAATGACCTGTTACACTGGCACCCATTGGGGACCCGGTAAATAATGACCTCTGGTAAACTGGCACCCATTGGGGACCCGGTAAATATTGGCCTCTGTTAGACTGGCACCCATTGGGGACCCGGGAAATAATAACCTCTGTTACACTGGCACTCATTGGGGACCAGGGAAATAATAACCTCTGTTAGACTGGCACCCATTGGGGACCCGGTAAATAATGACCTCTGTTAGACTGGCACCCGCCTAAGACTAGTAAACCAGAGGACCCGGTAAATATTGACCTCTGTTACACTGGCACCCATTGGGATCCCGGTAAATATTGACCTCTGTTACACTGGCCCCCATTGGGGACCCGGTAAATAATGACCTCTGTTACACTGGCACACATTGGGGACCCGGTAAATAATGACCTCTGTTACCCTGGCACTCATTTGGGACCCGGTAAATATTGACCTCTGTTACACTGGCACCCATTGGGATCCCGGTAAATATTGACCTCTGTTACACTGGCACTCATTGGGGACCCGGTAAATAATGACCTCTGTTACACTGGCACCCATCGGGGAC